CCCCAGGGGGGTAGAGGGCCAGAGGTTTCTCTCTTTCACAGAGGAAGAGTAAACGCTGAATGTCCTGTTATACACTGTTCTTTATTCAGCCGGGGAAAGGAGGGACATAGTGATGGGGCGGGTGCTGAGGCCACTGCAGCCAACTCAGACTTCCTCTCTTTTAGTCTTACTTTCCCTTCTCCTTCTCTGACTTCCTGAGGCAGACCAGGTTGTAGGTTTCCTGTTTTATAAGGAGGAGGTATACAGCTGAGAGGGTCCCACTTATTATTTTATTTTTCCTTATCTTTGCTCATTTCTGCCTTTAAAGGGAACAGGTCTACTGGTCCCTTTCTCCAACAAAAAGCAAAATCTATTTCTTCTTGGGCAACTGGACTCTTGTCATTAACATCTATTATAACTGGCAAATCCAATCATCACGGGGGACGAACTTAGGACAGAATACTGAGGGTTTTAGTATAGGCTCTTCTGTCCAGATGAAACAGCAATACTTTATCATCTGTTTCTTTTTTCCCTTTGTCCCAGGATTATCTCCCCAATGACAGAGCTCGAGCCCTGGAATACTGTCTGGGGGAATCTTCTTATTAGTCTGTTGTTCCTTAGAGCCTTCTTGTCTAAAGAAGAATTTTTATTACCCATCCCTATTTTCTGGTTGTGTGTTTTCAACTAGAGGCTCAGCCACCCTTCTTTTCTTCGAGGTTTCTTGCATTCTCTGGAGTCTCTTGTCCATCTCCGGCCATGTCCCTTGAGGGGAAAATATCCAATAAGAGGTTCTTCTTAGCTACCAGCAGGTTGGTATAAAGCCCTGACAAGGTCCAGGACTGCCTTATGCCACATGAAATCACCAGAGGATATTAGCAGAACCGCGGAACAGGACTCCACACTCACTTCATGTCCAGGATATGCCTCATCCATATACGCATAACCTCCAGGATGACCTGACCACCAAGGAAATAGTTCGTCACTTCTTGTGGCATTTCTTACCCTGTCTGTGCACGGAGTTACCTGATCACTGCGGTACTTGCCTGGGCCCTTCCCAAGTCCGAAATCAGCCTAAGGGATTCAGAGTTCCCCCTCTCTGAGGCCACCATAATGAGATAGTGGGACACATCTCCTCCAAGGAGGGGGTTCTTATGATCCCTCTGGGTGACATTAATATCTCAGATGAGCCCCCAAATTGTTGGAAATGCTCTCTGGCAGTATCATGGGAACAAAACAGAAACTCGAAAATGGCTCGGCAAGGCAGATTTTACTTCTGCAGAGGGTGCGCAACCAAACAAAAGAATCTGGAAAGTGCATGCTGAGCGGGAGATCAGCTGTTTTCATCCCTGACACTACTGCACCTGACTCCGATGGTTTGAAGCGTGGTTTCAGTCTGGCACGACTAATTCAAGTAGAGGTGCAGTTGGGGAGAGGTTGGTATTTGAGGTATTTCAGAGTAGTGGGATTGAAAATCACACAAAATGGTGACTTACTTTGAAATGGAGTAGTTTTAGTCACACCTATTTGGTAGAAAAGATTATCTTTCTTACAGAATGACCACCAGGGGGCACTGTGGGCAAATGTGAGTTCACCTCCTAGCTCACAGCCAGGAAATGATGCTGCTGGCCTGAGCTGCTTCCCCAGTGCCCCTGGGGTCCCCAGGCCACATGGGGTGTGCCTGGAAGCCCCCTATTTCCTTAATTTTGTTTTCACCACTTAAAGATTTATGGGTTTGATTCAGTCAACTGTTGATGTGTCTGGTTTTCTCCAGTTTCCACAACTTTTTTTTTTTAAATCACCACCTGAGGATCTTTTTCTATTTTTCTCCAGTCAGAGCAGGAAGGAGACAGAGAGAGGGAGAGAGAGAGAAACATGGATGCGAGAGAGACACATTGACTGGTTGCCTCCCACACAACCTCAACGAGGCAGAGGACAAAACGCAAAATCGAACCCATGACTCATTAGTCTGCGGGCTGATGCTCCAACCGCTGAGCCAAAACCGGGCAAGTCTATATATATAAATATGTATATATTTAGGACCACATAAAAACATATTTTTAAAATATTTTTAAAATATTAAAACATATTTTTTTAAAAATATGTTTTTAGCCCTGGCCGGTTTGGCTCAGCAGTTGGAGCATCAGCCTGTGGACTAGAGAGCCCCAGGTTCAGTTCCTGCTAGGGGCATGTACCAAAATAATAATAATAATAATAATAATAATAATAATATGTTTTTATTGCCCTGCCAATGTGGCTCAGAGGATGCAGCATCACCCTATGGACTGAGAGGTCCTGGTTTGATTCCTGGTCAGGGCACATGCCTGGGTTTCAGGATTGATCCCCAGTTCTCTCTCTCTTTCCCCTCCTCTCTTTCTAAAAAGTAAAAATAAACATATTTAAAAATAGTTTTTAAAAAATAATTCTAATCTCTACTGGTTCTCAAATTGTAGAGCACGTTGGAAAATCTGTGGAGTTTAATGCCTGGATTCTGAGTGAGAATTCCGATACAACTGGCATGGGACGAATGCTAGCTTTCTGCTGATAAGTAACGAAATACCAAAGGTAGCGGCTTAAAACAATACACATTGTTTTCTTGCGATTTCTATGGGTTAGGAGTTGGGACGTGCCTTGGCTGGACCCTCTACTCAGGGTTTCACATGGCTGCAGCCAAGGCGTCGGTGGCTGTGCTCTCAGTTGGCAGAATTCGCTTCCTTCTGGCTGTCGACTGATGGCCCCGCTTCACTGGCTGCCAGCTGGACGCACGTTTAGGTCCCAGAAGTCGCCCACAGTTCCCAGCCACAGCTCAGGCTGATTCGCTCTTCAAGGCCAGCGGGGAAGGGCAAGAGCTGGCACGGAGTCTTAGGTAATGTGTGGTGATGCTGCTGCTGGAGGGACACCCGTTACACGACCTCATCAAGGCAGTGGCATCGCCACCTTCGCCACGGTTCTTGGTTGGAAGGAAGCCTCAGGCTCCACCCCACAACCTTGGGAAACCTGTGACCTGGCAGGGTCACCTCGGGTGTACCTGCCACATGCTGCAATGTGAGCACTGGCTCTTCAAATTCCCCAGAAGATATCAGTGTCCAGAAAATATGCAGGAACCTCTGACCCAAGGACCTCTGCGCACCCAACCACAGAGCAGGCTGTGCCTCCCTCCTTCCCGCCGGCAGCCCCAGTCCAGGCCCACCAAGAGCCCGGTGGCTGGCCAGGGAGATGCATCCGTCCCAGGTCGGAAAGGATTGAATTTCCTGACCAATTAAGCCAATCACTACAAAAGCTATCTACTCACGTTCCTATATCACTAACAAACGCAATGCCCATTTAAGTTGCATTTTGTGTAAGTGCTATGGACCCAACTGTGTCCCTCCAACGTTCATTTGTTGAAGCCCAGTGTGACTCACTGTACGAGGAATAGGATTTTAGGAAACAATGAAAGTGAGGTCGTAGGATGAGCTCTAACCGGTAGGACTATGGCCTACAGGAAGGGGAAGGGCGGTGCTTCCGGCCCAAGATGGCGGATCAAGATGGCGGACCAAAGATGGCGGACCAAAGACGGCGGATCAAGATGGCAGACCAAAGATGGCGGATCAAGATGGCGGACTAAAGATGGCGGATCAAGATGGCAGACCAAAGATGGCGGACCAAAGATGGCGGATCAAGATGGCAGACCAAAGATGGCGGATCAAGATGGCGGCCCAGGGAGATTCCCCAACGCACCCTTCCCCGGAAAACATTAAATGTACAGCCACACAAGGAACAATTCCCTCTGAAAACACTCACGAGCTGGCAGAGCACCCTCTCAAACAAGAGGGAAACCACATCAAAGTGGGTTCGCACTGTGACAAATGTACCCCTCAGGCGATGCTGGTGGGAGGCTGTGCACGGGAACTGAGCCTTCTGCTCAGTTTTGCTGTGAACCCCAAACTGCCTTAAAAGAACAAGAAGCCGGCGAGGGGACATGCACATCCGGCGTAAGTAGCTGGCAATCGACCAGCTCCCGACGCACGGGGAGCTGCTCCCGGGGAGGAACCAGGGACCCACTCCGAGCCGCGGAAGGACAAGGCCCGGGGCGCTCAGGGGACCCGGGGGCCCCTCGCGGAGCACGAGGCTCACCTGCACAGTGGCAGGAACCGTGGATGGGAAGAAGGACGAGGCCGCTTCCTCGGCGAAGGCAGCGCGGACAGGCCAGGCCCAGACGGCTCCTCCCTGGGCACGCGGCTTTCTCAGGCGGGAAGGGATGACTCAGCATGTCGCCTCGTGGTGGGCAGAGGCTCATGGGAGATATGCAGATGCGCCCAGAGCACCATGGGAAATGGCCCTTTATATTCCCCCGGGCGGGCCGGCTGCCCTCTTTTCCCTGGGACGCCCAGAGGAGGCAGGCTCGCGGGGTGAGCGCCCCTCTGGCTGAGGAACGGGTTTGGGGCGCTCAGACTGGTGGAGGGTGGGGATAAGGCGCCTAGCGTGACCTGGGGCCAGGACAGTCAGCTCAGGCAGGGGTGTCTGGGAGGTCTTTCAGGGTCTGTCTGGTTCCGTCCGGTTCCGTCAGGCTCCTCGAGTGAGGCTGATGGGGTGTTGGGGTCGGGGAGGGGGGAATGTGACTCACAGGCCCGGAGCAGCTACACGGAGCCAAGTTCCCCCCTAAAGGGCCGAGTCTGAAGCCAGCTGCCCGACCGCCGACCCCCGGCCCCGGCCCCCCGCCGCTCTGGGTCTTCCTGACCTGCACGCCCTGCCTGCTAGGGGGCGCCTGACCTCATTTGCTTTCTCTTTGCAGCTCTCCAGAGACTAGAGCAATTGCATCAGCTGAAGAAATTTCTGGAAGTTCACCCCTCCCAACTTCTGCAGGTCCCTGTTGATCTGGGGCCCAGTTTGTCCCTCCCACCCCCAAATCCCCCCACAAGAAACACCTCTCCCCTGCTCTCCAGCAGCTCCCTGGCCCTCTGGCACCTGTGGGCCAGACCCCCTAAAGTCCCCAGCAAGTTCTACCCTTGCTGTCCACTGGACAGAAGGCAGGCAGCGTGGCCATGTGCCCCCCAGTCAGTGTGAGGTCTAGCAGGGAGGGCATGTCCCACCTCTATGCCGCCTGGTTGTATCAGCTCCAACATGGGGCCCAGCTAAGGATTTGCTTCGCTTGTTTCAAGCTTGCCTTTCTGAGCCTGAAAGAGTTCTTGGAGTCAGAAGGCTGGGAAGATGAGGACGGGGACCCTCAGCTGATGGAGTTCCCCTGGCTAGGGCCTGAAGAGGGTCCACCCCTGGAGATGGGGCTCAGCTGGTGGCAGGACCTGGGTCAGCCTGAACAGGGTGGGTTTTCGGACTTGGGGTCAGACACTGTGCTGTCAGACTCTGATGAGTCTGAAGAGGTGAGCTTGGACCAGTACTTTGTGCCCACTGAGCTGAACCCTCAAAATGCAGCGCCCTTGAGCCTGGGTCCTGAAGATGCTGACTGGACCCAGGGCCTTCCCTGGAGATTTGGGGGAGTTCCTGCCTGCAACCACTGGCCGAGCCCCTATTTTCAATGGCAGAGGTTTTTCGAAGAGGTTCTGCCCCCTGGTGAACCCATGCTGTTGGAGCTGGTTACCACCCGGGAGATGGACCCTGTTGAGGCCGAGGCCTGGTTACTAGACTTGCAGCTCCTGTCCATGGTGGGAGTCTCTGATGCCGCCTACCTCCGGAACATGACAGCTCGCTGGGTCCTGAGGACTTCGGGCCAGTGCTGGGAGGTGCTGCTGGACCCTGATGATGCATGTGTGGTGAGGGTCCAAAGTGAACGCCAGGGGCAGGACCTGACCCAGTGGGAGCTGAGCATTCTGGAAACCTCCTCAACAGGGTATGGTGTGGAGCTGGTCCCTGCGGACACCGCCTTGCTTCGAAGGGGATTCAGCATTCTCTCTTATTCTCCCTGGGATGAAAATGAGGCAGAGGAGGACAACTCGACATTCGAGTTCTCCAACCATGAAGAGGGGCCCGACATCACTGTGACCAGCAGCAGTGAGCCCAGGGAAACTGGGGAGAGCCTGGGCCCTGGGGGAGCTGCCCTGTTTCCAGCCCCTCTGCCCAAGGCCCCAGAAATGAGGGACTGAGGCCCAGCTCACCACCCAGTTGTCCTGGCTGCTCACTGGCAGCTGCCCTTCCACCACAGCCAGGGGAGCTATTGGCAAAGGATGGGGACTTGGGCCTGTGATGGGAGGGTGAGGAGTGGTCTAGGGACTGAAATGGGTTCTCAGTGGGAAGCAGCACAAATGTCCTTACCCAAGGGGAGAATTTCTTACGTCAGTGGTCATGGTTAGCAATGTGACTGTTGCTCGGATATTTTTGTGCAGCCTGTGAAGTGGGGACAAGACAGATCTGTGCATCAGCCCTGCCCTGGCCACAGCAGGAAAGGTCATGTGGGACACTCTCCCAGGAACATGCCTGAGTCTATGTCCAGACGACTGAGGGCTCTGGGCTGTACTGAGAGGGGATCGGGTTTCAAATGTTGGCTATTTTATGCAGTTTGACCTCTTAGTACCTGTTTTCTTTGTATGTTGTTTTTCATTGAATAAAGCATTATGTGTTTTGCATCGAGCCTCGGAGTCTTCCTCAGGTAGTCCTAGTTGATTGGCCTTGTGGTCTCAGGTCTGGGTTGAGCCCCTTTTACCAGTTTAGAGCCCTGGGAGGCAGGACAGAGGAGAGGCCCTGGTCAGTTTTTTGGTTCAAGGTGGGAGTTTGTTTCACAGGTGTTGATCATGTTATTTATAAACAACAAATACACACAGACTCAAAGAAGGGCCATGTTTTGAACAGTAATGAAAGTGTGCCCCTGACATTTAAAAAGAAAAGCCTAGCCCTGGCCAGTTTTCTCAGTGGTTGGAGCATCAGCCTGCAGACTAGAGAGTCTCGGGTTCGGTTCTCGCTAGGGGCACATACCAAAAGAAAAAAAAGACTATGTTACTGTAACACCAAAGAATTGTACAATACAGAATTGATAGTGTGTTCTTACTAAATAGTATATCAATAAAGGGGGCAATCAAAGATAAATAAAAAATTCTCATATTAAATTATGCTGAACATCATTAACCTTTCTTTGAAAAAAAAAAAGTCTAGCCCTGGCCGTTTTGGCTCAGCGGTTAGAGTATCTGCCTGCGGTCCAGAGAGATCAGGGTTCAGTTCCCGCTAAGAGCACGTACCTCGGTTGCAGTTTGTCCCCGGCCCTGGCTGGTCGTGCAGGTGGCAGCCACTCAGATGTGTCCCTTTCATGTCAATGTTTCTTTCTCTCTCTCTCTCTCTCTCCCACTCTGTCTGAACAAAAAAATGGAAAAATGGCCTTGGGTGAGGATAAAAAACCCCACAAAATTTAAAAAGTCTATAGGCTAAGCCACATGTAAAGATTGCTGACAATGTTCGTGACACGGAGAGGAAGGCACGTCAGCATCCCTGGGCTTCGCAGACTCACGGAGAAGAGAAGGCAGCTCTGGAGGTCTGGTCACGAGGGTGCTGTAGGCAGGGAAGAAGCTCTTCATTAACAGCTTCTCCTTGTAAATGACCAACTGGGAGGTTTCCACAGTGCTGCGTTGGTGGTCTCCGGCTTCCAGTGATTCCAAGGGTCCCTTTGGGTGGAAGATTCAGGTCTCAGGGTCCACTCCCCAGGGTTTACTGCTGCGTTAGGTATTAACAGCACCTGGGGGGTCCTTTTACTGAATTTTGAGGGCAGGCTTCCTCGTGTATCTTTCAGAACTGAGTACTTCAGGTCCTAAATCAGGAAGGCTTCCAATGCTAGTCACACGGAGAGAAGGCAACGCAACAGCTGATCAGAACTCTTCATTTCAATAAAGCCTCGGAGTTCTACCAACACTCTGCCTTGGAGTGTCTCCTCAAGTGTGCCCCTGGCTCCTCCCAAACAAGCCCAGCCTGGTCTTGCCCTTGTTACCTCCTCGCTCCAACCCTCCAGGTCAAACAGCCTCAGCCTTTTCGGAAGTCAGGTTTCACAGGTCCTGAACTGGCTGAGTGGCCCCACTGGGACCAGGAAGGCAGCATGCTCAACCCCTGGAGGAGGCCAGGGGGCCTGAAAGGGTGGGTTCTGAGAGAAGACAGTGTTGTGGGTACTTGAAAAGTCTTGCTTGAATTGGTGAGGCACTGTGACCTCTACACAGTCTTGTGGTAGCGGCACTTGGGTTGCTCAGGTGTTGGAGGCTCTCCACTAATTAGTAGGGCCGCCTCCAGCTGGAGACCTGTGCGTGTGTTAATCAGGTGTTTGACATCACCATTCCTCCAGCTGGGTCTCAGATGGGGTGGGGGGGGTTGGGTCCAGGACTGGGAAAACTCATTTCTGAAGCTGAAAGCAAGGAATAACATTAGCAGCGGCGCCAAGGGGAGTGTCTCCTGGAAAAATACAGTTAGCCACTGACTGTAGAGGGGCCTTGGGGAGGCACCAGGCAAGTGTGTGCTGGCTGGGACCTCCTTCGGGGCAGGTGCCTTCAGCTGTGGACAGCGCCAGGAGCCCAGCCCAGGCAGGGTCCCAGGCTGCCTCTTCAGATGACCAAGCCCTGTTGGCAGTTTCTGCCCAATGCTGCCTCCAAAGGGCAGTCTTTGCTCAGTGCTGGGCCAGCTGGCCTGGACTCCTTCGGGGCACGGCATCTGCCCCGTCCTGCTCTCTCCCATTAACCTTTCTCAGGCATTATGAGGGCGGGGCAGGTGGAGGTGGGCAGTGACAGGACTCGCCTCTTTGACAAGTCTGTGGTCAGGCTGGATGGGCACCTGGAAAGAAACTCATGAAGCCAGATTCTGTCTGTGGAATTTCACTTTCTACAGAATTTAATAATACAATTGGATTTGAGTTTTTGCGGAAAAATTATGACCCCAAACCACAATGGATCCATTATGTCCAGAGCAAAGCCGTAAAGTCACATTAATGGGAAGTGGGGCCTTAATGATTGATTTATGATTTAGTGGTCCATAAAGTGACTCACAGGCCTGCAGAGTTACTTTTGCACAGAACACAAGAGGTCGCAGGGGCTGGGCCTCCACAACCTAGCAGGGTAGCAGCAGCCCCAGACATTCCTCAGTTCCCAGCAGAGCCCTGGCCCCACCCACACCCCAGAACTGGACTGAGCATGGTGCTCCACTCTGTGGACAATCAGGTCCTCTCAGGTCCAGGCTGAAGGAGGAGGGTTCTCCCCGCCAGGGAACCAGGAAATGTCCCCTGGCCACCTTCTGGGCCTTGAGCTATCTCCCTCTCCCCTCATTTCATCCTTTGTCCTGTCCTGGTCCCCTGCAGGCCCCTCTCAGGATGACCCAGCCCCTCCCACCGTCTTCAGGATCTGTGGGGGCATGCACGCAGGGTGGCACCTGTCCTTCCCTCCTGGAGCCAATGGAGTGAAGGCTGTGGGGCCCGAGGCTCTGCAGGACGTCATGACCAGGAGATGACAGACCAAGGCTGTTCCTAGAAGAGAAGGAAGCTGACCCCCCCACTCCTGCTTCTGGTGGATGCTCTCCTTGACCCTTGGTCATCCATATGTCCTGATCTGTGGCCCTGAGGGCCGGGCTGGGCTGCTCCGTGACCTCGGCAGCTGACCCTGGTCTGTGTTCCTGGGTCACAGGGTATTTGGACCAGAGGCAGCAGATGAGATCGATGGGCCTGAATCATGTGCCTGCTGAGGGAGAGGATGAGAGCAAGACCTGTCTGTGAGTCTACGTGTCCGACAGCTTCGGTGGGGTGGCACAGAGACTCCCAGGCCAAGAGCCATGGGGCTCCGGGTCCCGCCTCTCACTGAGGAGTGGGGAGAGGTCCCAGGATCCCTGAAAACGGAGTCATCAGCATATCATGCATAAAAGGAACAGGAAACTAGGAAACAAAACAGCAGCATTAGTCACACTGGCCAAAAGGTGGAAGCAACCCAGTGTCCATCGCCAGATGAATAAAGAAAATTTGGCCCATCCATACAATGCAATATTATCAGCCTTCAAAAGGAAGGCGATTCTGACACATGCTATACACGGATGAAACTCCAAGGCAGGATACTGAGAGCCAGTCACCACAGGACAGATCCTGCTTCCTTCCCTCCCCGAGGCCCCTGCAGGGGTCAGAGTTATAGGGACAAAAAGGAAGGTGGTGGTCCCCAGGGGCTGGGAGGGGGGGAAGGGGGAGCTGGTGTTTAATGAGGACAGAATTCCGTTTTGGAGTGAGGGTAAGGCTTTGGAAATGGATAGCGGCGAGGGTTGCACAACATTGTGAATGTTATTCCTGCTACTGGGCGCAGGCCCGGCCTGGGTCTCTCACTCCTCCCCCAGGTCCAGGGCGTGATTGGGGGTGGGGGTGAGAAGAGTTAAAACGAAGCAGAGACGCCCCGCGGAAAGGCAGCGGGGCTGGAGGCGGCTTCACCCCACCACGCTGCTGGGGTCCCACCCAGGGTGAGAGCAACTGAGACCCTCGCTGGGGCCGAGACCTGCGGCCCTTGTCCTGAGCTTCGGGCACTTTCCCGCCCAGGATCCGGTGCCGCCCCGGCGCGACCCCCCGGCCCCACCCCGGCGCCCCCACATTGGCCCTCTGCGGAGCGTCTGCTCCCAACCCCCCGCCCTTCTCCCGCTCCTCCAGCGCCCGCACACCGTCTCCCCTGGATCCTGCGCCCCTCCCACAAGAGTACCCTCAGCGCCCACGAGGCCCCCTCCTGGCACCCCCGCCGCGGGTTATTAATATCCGGCGCGGCGCGGGGCCGCGGCACAGTCCCAGCTGGCGGCCAGGCGGGTGGCGGCGACGGTCCGGACCAGGCGCGCAGCTCGGCTGTTCAGGCGGGACCGGGCGGCGGACTCCCTCCTGTCGCGAGTCCCGGGAGCCCCAGCCGCTGCGTGCCGGCCGGGAGGAGCGTTTGGGGACGTGGGGCGCCTAGAGCGCCACCTGCTCCGCGGTGACCGAGTTGAGCGCGGGGGTCACTGGGGTGCCCGGTGGGGGGCGCCCGGTGCGGGAGGGGTGTGGGGCGACGGAGGGCTGTGGAGCCCCAAGGGCACGTCGCGGGCTCGGTGGAGCTTCGCGTCGCTCCGGGGGCTCCGGGTCGCGGTCCCCAGGAGCCGCTTGTCCCGCTGCGGCCCGAGATGGGGGGCCGCCTCTCGGGGTGTTGGGATCTCGCCCGCGCAGCTCGGCTTCTCCGCGGCCCCGTGGGGGGGGGTGCTCTGGAACTGGCGGCGGGGGGGGGGTCCCCTGCCGGCTGCGATCCCGCCTCAGGAGCCCGGGGCGGCGTCTCTGCACCCCAGGCCTGCCGACGTCCCCGTACAGGGAGGGCGCAGATGCGCCTGGCGGGACGGTCCTGCGCTTCCCTACTGTCAGCACCGGCCGTGCAGACGGAAGCCGCCCGCAGTCGGTATGAACCCTGGGTGGGGGAGAGGTGGGGCGATGCCGGGGCCTCCCCTCCTGTAAGTATTCGCGCGTCTTAGGCCTTTTTTCTTCTTGTGAAGATCATCTCCATTCGGTAAGACTGTATCTCGGGTGTGCAACTCCACGAGTTTTTACAGGTGCGCACACCTGTGTACCCACCACCGGGCTTAGCGCACAACACATTTCCGTTCCCCCAGAGGGCTCTCCAGGGCCCCCTCCCAGTTGACACCCCCAGGTAGCCACTGTCAACACTGCTTTGCCTTCTAACTTCATGTGAATGGAATCACGGGGCTTCCTCTTCTGATTTCTCCTGTGTGAGTTCCCCCCCGGGCTGTTGGCTGCTAGGGAGCCTCTTCCAGACCATGTTCAGCCACCCTCCTATTTATGGACGTTGGCGGCTGCAGCTCCTGGCTGTCAGGAGAGAACCTGCTGTGAACCTTGCTGTGCTCTCTGCAGGCCACCTGTTTCTGAGTGGAATTCGGGGTGCGGGGCAGGCCTGCTGCCAGCCTGCCAAGGGTGCCAGCTCACATTTCCACCCGCCGGGCATGAGTCCCTTCCTAGGCCCCCTCGCTTGGTGTCTGTCCTTCCTGGCCATCCTGAGAGTGCCCAGTGGCTTTGACCCTTTTTTTTTTTTGAGCATCTTTTCATGTGCTTCTTGGCCTTTGGGATATTCTCTTTCGAGAAGTTTCCGTCCGAATCTGTTTTCCCCCCAAAGGAGTTGTTAATCTTTACTGATTTGCAGTTTTATCATATATTTCGGTTCCCAGTTCTTAGTCTGACATATGTCTTCTCCCTGTTCCTGGCTTACATTTTTATTCCGTCAGTGAAGTGGGTACTTTTAATGAAGTCCACTAATTGGTCTTCTCTCTCTTTTTTATGGTTTTATTGATTTTTTTGTCGGGAGAGAGAGATAGAAACATCTATGGGCTGCATCCTGCACACCCCCTACTGGGGATGGAGCCCACAACTAGGGCATGTGCCCTGACCAGGAATCAAACCTGTCCATGGGACCTCTCAGTCCATGGGACGACACTCCATCCACTGAGCCTGAGCCACACCAGCCGGGCTGGTCTTCTTTTATTGCACATATTCTTTTTTTTGGTAGGTGCCCCTAGTGGGAACCGAACCCGAGACTCTCTGGTCCGCAGGCCAACGCTCCAACCGCTGAGCCAAACCAGCCAGGGCGCACATGTTCTTTGTTCTTCTTTGAGGGGTCTTTGCCTACCCAAGGTCCTGTTCTGTTTTGCCCAGAAGCTGACTGATGACCGACATAGCACTTTGCAGGCCCACAGTGCTGCATCACTTGTGTGTACGGTGTGAGGTGGGATCAAGGCTCCTTTTCCATGTGGATACGTGGACATTATTTTCCTATTTGAACTCTTCAAGTCAGCAGATATTATTTGCAATCTGGGCAGAACATACTTTAAGCGGTTAGGAGAAATACACTGGGAGAAAGAACTCTAGGTAAGTGAGGCCCCGGCTGGCTCACAGGTGAGCAAGGAGGCCTGGGGAGAACTCCAGGCTCCATCCACTGCTGACCCTGGCCCCAGCTGCCCTGCTGTGCTCTGGTTCTCAGAGTCCGGCCAACCCCAGAGGGCTCTGGACTCGCACTGAGGCCCAGGCCAGGGGAGCTGCTGGGGCAGGACCGGGCAGCCGGTGAGCTGGGGAAGGAGGCAGAGTGGCAGAATTCCGAACAGAGGGTCCCAGGGTGAGGTCCCTCCCTCTGCAGGCTTGCCCTGCCCAGGGGAACTTTGCCCTCACATGGGAGGAGGTGCCTGATATGCCCTTTAATGGGTATCTTCTCCTGCAGGACAAGCTTGTCACCGGCCCACGGATGCGCTCTCCACAGCACAGCACAGCTCCAAGTCCAGCGTGAGTGGCAGAGATGGCCCTGCGTGTGGCGCCCGCCAGCAGGTCCCCGGGGCTGGCTGCAACAGGCAGTCCTGTGCCCGAGCTGCCTAGCAGCCCCAATGCATCCCTCAACAGCTCGTGGGCCAGCCCCACGGAGCCCAGCTCCCTGGAGGACCTGGTGGCCACGGGAGCCATTGGGGTGGTGCTCTTGGCCATGGGCGTGGTGGGCGTGGCAGGCAATGTATACACACTAGTGGTCATGTGCCGCTTCCTGCGCGCCTCAGCCTCCATGTACGTCTACATCGTCAACCTGGCGCTGGCCGATCTGCTCTACCTGCTTAGCATCCCTTTCATTGTGACCACCTACGTCACCAAGGAGTGGCACTTCGGGGACGTGGGCTGCCGAGTCCTCTTCAGCTTGGACTTCCTGACCATGCACGCCAGCATCTTCACCCTGACCGTCATGAGCAGCGAGCGCTACGCCGCCGTGCTGAGGCCGCTGGACACTGCGCAGCGCTCCAAGGGCTACCGCAAAGTCCTGGCGCTGGGCACGTGGCTGCTGGCGCTGCTGCTGGCGCTGCCCATGATTCTGGCCATCCGGCTGGTCCAGCGGGGCCACAAGAGCCTCTGCCTGCCGGCCTGGGGCCAGAGCACCCACCGCGCCTACCTGACGCTGCTCTTCGGCACCAGCATCGTGGGGCCCGGCGTGGTCATCGGCCTGCTCTACGTGCGCCTGGCCCGGGCCTACTGGCTGTCGCAGCGGGCCTCCTTCCGGCAGACACGAAGACTGCCCAACCCCAGGGTGCTCTACCTCATCCTGGGCATCGTGCTGCTCTTCTGGGCCTGCTTCCTGCCCTTCTGGGTGTGGCAGCTGCTGGCGCAGTACCGCGGGGCCCGGCCGCTCACGCCCCGCAGCTCGCGCATCGTCAACTACCTGACCACGTGCCTCACCTACGGCAACAGCTGTGTCAACCCCTTTCTCTACACGCTGCTCACCAAGAACTACCGGGACTTCCGGCGCGGCTCGCCCTGCGGCAGGGGCACCAGCGGGCGCGCGGGCACTCGAGCCTTCCTGCAGTGCCCGGCCCGCGCCCCGCGCCCCGTGGGCAGTCGGCAGGCCTCCGAGCCCATCAGCCTGCCTGGGGCGGCCCCTGGGGGCGTCCGCGACTGAGTGTCCCGACCTCCAGGTGGGCGCTGGGGTGGGTGGCCTAGCTGCTGGCCTACATTCCCTGGAGCTCCTGGCAGCTCCCCACGACTCCTGCTGACAGCCCCTCTTCCCTGTTCTCTTCCAGAAGTCCCCTGCTCTCCCTTCCCCGTGGGAGAATTTCAGCTTCGTCAGCCCAGCACACTCCCCACCCCACCAGCCCCTCCTGGGATCTGCAGAGGCGCAGGCCCAGTCATGCCCAGTGGTCTTCACCACACGAGCCGTAGATGTGCACCGGGTCAGCACCACCCTGACCCGCGGTGGGCACACGGCTGCCTGCACGGGAACCCCCTCCTGGCTGGTGCGTGGCCTCTGTGGCACCTGTCCCATCCCTCCTGGCTTTGTGACAATAAACGCTAAGCTCGTTGATCCCTGCCCTGCTTCGGCCTGGGGACAGGGTGTCAGGGGTGGGGAGGATCCACAGCACATGGAGAAGCCTGTCGTCTGGCTGGGGAGGGCACACATCTTACTTTGTGACTGTCCAGTGTGAGCCAGGCCACAGAGTGTGGGGCCTGAGACCCCGGGGGTGAGGCAAGAAATGACCACCCCAACCTGCTCCGGGAGGAGGGGACAGCTGGGGGATTGCTGCAGGGCAGGAGCACAGCACACTGAAGCCAGGAGCCAGAATACTCCCATTTGCAACCACTCCCTCCCCAGACCTGTGGGTTCATCTTGTGCCTTCTCTGTGCAGAGTCTGAACTGGGTCTCCTGGGGCCACCGAGGCGACTGCCCTGCCCACAGAGTCCACACATGGCCAGCCCTGCCCTCCACAGGGATGAGCTGGCCAGGAAGCAGAGGGAACAGGACGAAGGTGGGGAAAAGGAGGGAGCAAGCAGGGCACTGTGTCCCCCCATGGGGTCCTTGCTTTGGGTGGGGGTGGGGGCAAGGTTTTAAGTGAGGCAACTCTGGGGACATGGATGGACTTAGTGGGGTGAGGCCTCCCGCCGGCTGGGAGGTTTGGCTAGGAGGTCGGTTCTCCCGGCTTAGGGTAAGCAAAGCAAGGGCAGGAGCAGGGACCCTTCCTGCAGGTTCATTGAGCCTCCGAGGGCCCACTGCCCACAGCTCCTCCTCCTCCCCCCACCGCCCACAGCTCCTCCTCCTCCCCCCACCACCCACAGCCCCTCCTCCTCCCCCCACCGCCCACAGCCCCTCCTCCTCCCCCCACCGCCCACAGCCCCTCCTCCTCCCCTCGCCCCTGCAAGCAGGGCCACTCAATCAAAGCCAGGAAGGTGATTTGGGAGGCCCGGTCTCACTCAAACCCACAGTCTCTGGCCCATCAGGCACGGTGCCCAGTCCACTGGCCTCACAGCGTCCTCCCCAGTTGGAGACCAGGCTGTCCTGTGAGAGATCTGCCGGTGGGGTGGGGGCACCAGGCCCCCAGACCCTACTCTTCCCCAGGGCTCTGAGGCTCCTGAGGGTCTGCAGGAGCCAGAGCTGGGGAGGTCCGGCCCAGGGCCGGGTGGACAGCAGAGGCCCCAGGGTGAGGGTCACCGGGTGGGTGAACCCAGCTGGACCTGAGCTCCAACAGAGCAGGGCTGCTGCCGCTCAGTCACGGCTCACAGGCGCACACAGGTGCTCCAGAGGAAGCGAGCCGGGAGGACACACGTAAATGAGACAAGGTTTCTTTTTTCCCAATCCTCACCGGAGGATATTTTTTCCATCGATTTTCAAACAGACTGGAGAGAGGGAGAGAAACATCGATGTGAGATACACCGATTGGTTGCCTCCTGAACGGGGATTGAACCATAACTGAAGTATGCGCCCTTGGAATAGAGCCCACGGCTCTTTTGTTCGAGGCTTTGCTGTAACCGCTGAGCCAAACTGGCCAGGGCAAGACAAGGTTTCTTTTAAGGGGTTGGCCCCTGTGGTGACGGGGCCAGCAGGCTGGACACTCGGACAGGGGAGGACCACAGCCTTGGGGCAGAATCCCTTCTGGGAAACCTCTGGCCTTCAACCGCGTGGACGAGACCACCTGTCCAGTTATGCAGAGAGGTCCACTTTGCTCAAGGTCAGCTGACGGCAGACGTCTGTCCACGGGGCAGGTGGTCAGCACTTGGTTCCTTTCATAGCTGAACACTCAGTTGGTGACCACGTTCGTTGGTTAGGGCACCTGAGCCGCTCCCACCTCTTCCTTGAAACGGAGAGAGCCGCTGTGAGCATGTCTGTGGGAGACCCTCAAGGGACGGTTGGACCTACGGAACCACCAGACTGCTTCCCGAAGAGGCTGCGCCTGCGCCCCTCCAGCCCCGCGTGGTGTTCTGGGTCCCTGTCCTCCCTCAGGCACGTGCGGCTTTCATAATAAAAGAGCAGCTGTTCTGGGTGAACCTGGATTAGTAATGACCGCCTCAGTCACGGTCTGCAAGGCTGGGCTGCGGGCCTGGCTCGGGTTGGAGGCAGGACAGTGCTGCCCACAGCCTGGGACCGGGGAACATTGGCCCCACCCACCTTCTGGGAAAGGTGCCCTTGAAGAGGGGTCACCAGGACTCCTCCTTCCAGCTCTGTCCCGGGAACCGGGGCTTTCCCTCTTGGAACCATCTGTCAGGGGGATGGGGCAGCCAGCAGGGCCCGTTAAGAGAAAGGGAAGTCATGGCTAACATCACTATGGATCATCTTGGTTCTGTGGATCATCTGAAACCCTTTTGGCCAGTCTCCCAGGCCCTACCCCCAGCACCCTGTCCCTGGAAAGACACTGACCAGGTCCCTCCTCCTCCCTGGGCAGGGGGGGGGCAGTTGGGGTGGTGTGGGAACAGAGAGGAGGGGGAGGGGTGTGGGGGAGGAGCAGCCACAGCACAGGGTGCAGGAGCTGAGAGGACCGTCCCTCTGGGTCCACCTGGGTCCTCCAGGGCAGTGTCGGTCAGCGGTGGGGATGGGAGGGGTGTCTGCTGTCTGATGGAGGCTGGAGGCCGAGGGAGGCCAGGGTGCTAGAGTTCTCTCAGCATTGAAATGTCATCCACCCAACACCGAGCCTTTGGATGAAGAAGCAAAACCTCAAAGCCAGGCTCAGCCCATGGGCAGCGTGGCATCCAGTGCTCACGAGGCACCTGACCGCTGCCCCAGGACTCCCCACCCTGCCGTACACCAAGGGGGTGCTCCTGGGTCTTTAGAAGCTTCTAGGACGGTCTGCAATGTTCATTTTCCTCCGGGCCGTGCTGACCCATCCCACCTGCACTGCCCATCTCAGAGGGGGGTCTCTGTCCGTCCTGCTTCAGTGCGGTTCCCCAGAAGGGCAATGGTGACCGCAGTTGGGGTCGGAGAAGCAGGGCCAGCAGACTTCCCTGAGGTGCTCAGTGTCCCCTGAGGCTGTAGCCACCTTCACGGGGAGGCTGGGCTCAGGCGACCATCTGGAAACAGGCGTCGAGCGCAGGGCAGAGGGCCTTGCGCCAGGGGCACCTGTGGCAAGTGAAATCCAGATGGCGTTTGTGTGTCCACGTGAGTCCAAACATCATTGATGAGCAAGAAGAACATACAGTGAGCATCTTTCCAACATAAGGGGACAGTTGGCAAGAGTGACCCAGAACCCTCGAGGAAAAGATCAAGACTTCGATTATAGAAGTCATTTAAAATTCTGATGCAGAAAAAGACACTTGAAGCCGAGACGGAACAGACCCCCGGAGCTCGGCGTTGGCACCACGTGGAGGCAGGTCGCAGTGCCTCCAGCAGTCTGTCCTGAAGCAAAGGTCAGGGGTGGGTGAAGGTGTGTGTACAGAATGCTCGTTCAGCATCCCTTCAGAACCAGAGGACCGCCGCACGTTAAAGCAATCACGATGTGGTCGTGAGACACGGAGAATCGGGTTCTGACAGCGACGAAGGTGTCACCCCGAGGACTGTTACGGGATAGACCTAAGGATGTTGGCAAATGGGGAAATGCTGTAGAACTGTACAATGTGATCCCAAGTTTTCTTTAAAAAAAGAAATTTTTTTTTTTTTTGAGAGAGGAAGAGAAACATCCATTGGCTGCCTCCTGCAACCCAGGCATGTGCCCTGCCCAGGGATGGAACTGGGACCTCAGTCCCTGGGACGTCGCTCCATCCACGAGCCACACGGCCGGCCCAGTTTTATTGAACACAAACAGTGTGCGTCTGTGGACGTGGCAGCGGTTTTGCTTCCCAGGAGGTGGCAGGCAGGCGTCCAGGCTGGCAGTCTGGGGGTGGGCCAGGGGCTTACCAGGTGCAGCACATTCCTGCCCTGCAGGCCAGTCAGTCTCTGGTTTTGGCAACTGATCACTGTAGGACAGTGGGGATGGACGGGGCCACGGGCCCAGGGGGCTTTTCCAGGCACTTCAGGCCCCAGCAGAGTGGCCTAGCCCAGTCCAGGCGCCCCTGTGAGCCCCACTCCCACCTTCTGGGGGCCCAGTGGGGAGGGCGGAGAGCCCAGCTTGTTACTCAGAGCGCCCAGCAATGCAGAGGCTGGAGTCGGGTCACCTGGCTGCACCCCCAGGCTGCTGCCCTTTGTGTCCGTTATTTATCAACAAAGAAACATGCTCCCACATCCCCTTCACTCCTAGTCTTCCAGGGACTCACTCTGGGGAGTGAGTGGCACCTGCACCCAGCAGACATCAGTGTTCACCTGCCTGAGGAGCACGCTGCCCTCAGAGACTCTCCGCACCACATGGGGCTCGGGGGTGGGGTTGGGGTGGGGGAGCAGCTGGCCTGAGTGACCAGTGATGATGCCTGCGAAGATGTGGCCCCGCCCAGGGGGTGTGTGGCCCGAGCTGGTCTGCAGAGACCTGATTGCACAGCTGTGCACACCCAGCAGTTCTGACCCGGGTCACCCGGAGGGCCAGCCTTGGGTGGCAGGACACTGGGCTCCTCCTTGGCCTGGAGAAGGCTCCCAGGAGCCCCTGGCTGTTAGGTGTGAGAAAGGAGGGGAGCTTGGCCAGCAGGAGGTGAGCACCCTCATCCTGTGGAGGGAAGACGGTGGCCAGTCTGGCCAGGGGCCCCGTATACCCACAAACCACCACCCCAGGAATCCAGGAGCCCCAGGGCCACGCACAGGGCAGCTTTTCCATGGGAATTCCAGACAGATGACGCCCTGAGCAGGACGCCAGGCTGTCCCGGCTGACAGCCAGGAGCTGCAGACTATGGCCTTTTTCAGGCCCGCCCAGTGCCCACCCCATTCGAGGAGCGGGGCCAGTTCTCCTGGGGTGGGGCAGAGCCCCGGGCTGCCCAGGGGTGACCCGAAGGCCACCTCTCCCGCCTAGAGCTGTGGAGACGGAGGCCAGGTGGGCGGGGTGGGGTGGGGAATGCTGAAGTCCTGTCAGTCTGGAGACCCTGGTCTGGCCCCTCCCTGCACGCCCTCCACATGCTGATTCCCTGGCCTCCCAGGCCTCCCCCTCCCCCGCAAGCATGCCACCAGGTTATCTGTCACTAAGCGCTCTTATTCCTGTTTCAGAGCTGAGGACCCGGACATGAACTCGAGGGTTGTGCAGGCCACAGGCACCTGCAGGATGAGGTCCAGCTGGGAGCACCCCCAGCTCAGTGCATATAGCAGTCCTGTGCCCTGGCTCAGGCACCCACGGTGTGACGGAAAGTCCAGGGCCTGTGTGTCACCCCAGAGCTCTGTGTCCGTGTGGAATCCTGAGAAATATGGAGGCTGACAGGGTGTTGCCCCTCCGCCACTGGCCATCAGAGCTGGCTGCCTGCGCCAAGGTCTTCCCTGGGCCTTCAGAACTGGGCCTGGGGCCTGATGGGGGAGAGAGGGGCACCTCAATTCCTGCCTTTAGCCTCCCAAGGCTCCATCCTCACCTCACCACCACGTCCCTTCACCCCACAAGCCTGCCAGCTCCCTGCAGCCCACACAGGTAAGGGAGGGTCTCAGCCATGTTGGGTGGTCAGGAAGGGCTTGTGTTGGGGGCTGGGGACCCAGGGAGGGGGCAGCAGGTGCAAACATGGGGCCCACTTTTTCCTGGGGATGAAGCTGGGGTCCAAGAACCCACCCTGGCTGTGCAGAGACCCTGGACAGTGAGTATCCTTTCTCCTTCCTCTCCCCTCCCTCCTCCTCTGGACTTTTCCAGGATTGCGCCCTTCCTGAGCCTCCCCCCCCCAGCTCTATCCTTTATCGAGGGGCATGGGAGGAGCCAGCGGATGCTCCCAGAGGCAGGCAGCCTAGGGTGACCGGCAAGGACAGGGAGCTCACGCTTAGCACCAGGCCAACTACTGATGCCCCCCATGTCCATGCCCCCACGCTGCAGGCCGGGAGGGCACCCTGTGCTGGGGCAGGCCCGGCTGAGCCCTCCCAGAGTCCCCGCCGGCTTCCCTGGGAACGGGAGCGCCAGCAGCCCAGCTCCACTGGGATCCGCCTGGGCGCAAAGGTGCTGAGACGAGGATGGTCAAGGAGGAGCCTCAAGAGCTGCAGGGGACAGAGGTCAGGTGTCCATCTGGTCACCTGGCTGCTGACCCTCCTGCTGGCCCCGAGGGTGAGCGGGGTGGGGGGTCTCTGGGAGGCAGCAGGGCCCCCACCTGAGGGAAACGGGCTTGCAAAGGGAGCTGCGGGCTGGCGGGCTCACTTCCTTCCCCGAAGCTCAGCATCCAGGCGGGAAGCTGGAGCGCCGAGCTGCTCGGTCCCGGCTGCACACTCAGCCGCCCCCGGGCCTGCCCAGCAGCGCCTGGGGCTTGGTTTCCGGAAGGGGTGTCCCCAGGCAGACCGCTGTCCCTGGTGTCTTAGGCCCCTGGCCCCGGTCTGCCCCAGGGCCCTGCTCACTGGAACCTTTCCCACGGTGTCATGACTGCTGATGCCGATTCCCGGGCAGGCTGCTGGCCCCACAGGGCATCGTGCTGGTGAAGACTGTTCCCAAACGGAACCGGGCACCGGGCACAGGGAGCCCTTCCTGAGGAAACACACGGGGCCTGGGGGAAGGCTGGTTCCCCTAGTTTACTCACAGACGAAATGACTGAAACATCAGCAAATCAACACCCAGATGATGCGTAAGGCACCTTGTTCGATGGAAAAGGATGGGGGGGGGGGGGGCGCCTCCGCTGGAGGGCGCCGCGGCCGGAGCTACGTGAAGGCTGGGTCCGCGATGCCGTGGTCCGGGTTGCAGGTGAAGGCGATGGTGATGGCGTAGCGGGTGCCCCAGTGCACCTTCTCCACTCGGTGCAGGTTCTCAGACCCCGAGGTGAAGAAGGACACCCGACCTAGGCGAGGAGGAGGGGAGAGGTGACCCACGCCACGCACGGCCTTCGGAACTGCGTCCCCAACAAGCCGCCACAAGCCAGGCGACGGGAGAAATCCACACACTAGTCCGCGGCCTGCTGATGCGGGAGGCAGGACGACATGGGAGAACCCACACCCGAAGTCGGGGACCCCCAGGCATGGGGAGGGGCACCCCAGGCCCATCCAGGCACCAGGAGCTCATTGTGCTGGTGGGCTGGGGCAACTTGGGGATGAGGGTGCCCAACAAGCCCTTTGATCTCCTCCTTTTTTTTCTTCCCATTTATCTTCAGATAGAGCAAGAGGGAGGGAGCGAGACAGAGAAACACCAATAGGTTGCCACCCTCACAACCCCATCCAGGGCCTGGGATGAACCGCAACCAAGGAACCGAGGTATGCGTCCTTGGCTGGTATCAAGCCCGGGATTCTTTGGTCCGCAGGCCGACGCTCTAACCGCTGAGCCAAACCGGCCAGGGCAGTGATCCCCTCTTAAAGCCAGGAGGAAATTACCAGCAGACAGGACTTACTTCTGCACAGCGACCAGCAGGCAGCTCGGGGGACCTGCCCCTCAAGGCGAAGGGCAGGCAGACTCAATGCACATGGCCGAGTGGACTCAAGATGCTGCCCACCCAACTCCGTAACTATGAAACGTTCAGCACTCAAAGGTGCTTTCTGGCTTTCACTCTTCAGCAAACAACTATTAGATGATCACCCACATCCTTAAAGTGGGACTTAGCTTGGCAACTGAGCAACCAAAGATATGAAAGCGTCTCAGCTTTGGCTGGTTTGGCTCAGGGGTTCGAGTGTCAACCCTTGGACCAAGGGGTCGCAGGTCTGATTCCAGTCAAGGGCATGTACCTTGGTTACAGTTCGTCCAGTAACCAGTCGATGTCTCTCTCACATCAATGTTTCGCTCTCTCTCCCCCTCCCTCCCACTATCTGAAGATACACAGAAAAGTGTCCTTGGGTGAGGATTAAAAAAAAAAATTCTAATCAGGCCCTGGCCAAAGTGGCTCAGGAGTTAGAGCCCTGGCCCGCACCCCGAAGGGTCTCAGGTCCGGCTCCCAGTCAAGGGTGTGTACCTGGGTTGCAGGTTTGATCCCTGGCCCTGGTTGGGCCATGTGCAGGAGGCAACCCATTTCTCTCTCCTTCTCCCCAACTCCCTCCCTTTGACTCTCTCCAAAAATCAATGGAAAAAGTTCTCGGTAAGGATTAACAAAAGTTCTGCTCAAGTATTTATTGGGCTTAAAATGCCCCTCAGAAAGCCCTCAGGGGGCACTACACACCCTGAACCCCAGGACCTGACAGGACGGGATGAGTCATGTGCTCCACTCAGGGCAGCAGAAGTCCGGAGCTCAGTGTCTCTACCGACATTACCGAGTTTACCGGTGCCGGGTCCCCGGAAGGGCCTGGCAGGAGCACAGTGCAGGGTGCAGGCAGGTCTCCCGGGAGGCGCTGTCTGTGACAGCCCTGCCTGCGGACATGCCTGCCTTATCCTGACAAACCAGCCTCCCGGATGTCTCTGACCAGCGGGCACAATCGAGGCAAAGCTGGGCACGCAGCAGGTCTCCGTAAATGAAGCCTCCGCCCTGGTAACCACGCCCGAGCTGCCCTGGGTCCTACCTGCTCTGGGCTCCACCGTCTTGTTGGCCCCCTCCTCCATGAACACGAATCGCCCCCCGCCAAAGTCATCCAGGTAGTCAGAGAGGTACAGCAGCGAGGTGTAGTCGAAGGAGCCGTAGGTCACCTGCAGGCGAGGCAGGGGAGGCAGGGGAGCGTCACCACCTGGAGCTCAGAGCCCTGCATCTGCTCCTCACGCCTGGGTGTCGCGCACGAGGCCACTTGTGCCTTCTCGGCTCCCGAGGAGCCCTCACTGCACCCCCCATCTGCTTCTTCCCGGGATTCCCACACAGTCCGAGGCCCAGGCTGTGCAAAGCAGCGTGTGCGGGACCCGCAGCCAACGAGCCCACGTTGGGTGACTCCTGGACAGCGGCCCCCTGCCGGCCCACAGGCCTCTCCCACATCGGCAAGGACAGCGGCGGCGACAATGAGCTTCTGCGCTTCCGACAGGTGTGGGGCAAACCCAGCCCTTTAAAGACCGTGGTAAAACGCTCACCATACAGGTCACACCTTTACACCTTCACCGTGTTTCGGTGCACAGCTCGGTGGCTTTGGTACTCACGTTGTTGTGCAGCCGTCACCACCATCTCCAGAACTTCGTCATCGTCCCCCACTGAACCGCTGTCCCCAGGAAACACGCCCCACCCCTCCCCCAGCGCCCACCCTCCTGCTGTCTTCCTGTGTGACCTGACTCCTCTAGGGACCTACAGTGGATCCCACACCTGTCCCTTGGTGTCTGGCCCTCTTTGCATGGACGTTCTTTTGGAAGACAGTGTGGGTGGTCAGAGCAGAGGATGGGGGACGGGGCCTGAGCGCGGCCGTCTGACCCCTGACGCAGCCACCACCAGTTTCCTGGGAAGCCCTTGAGTCAGGGAGGGGACGTGGCCAGGGAGAGTCAGCGGAGGCACTTCACGGTGGATGTTCAGGTGGCCGCAGACAGGGGGCGCCACAGGCCGTTGTTTCCAGTGTGAGATTTCTCAGGTTTGGTTTAAAAACTGTTAGACGAGGGGGAGGGATCAGTGGTCCATAACATGCAGAGGAGGTGTCTCCTCCCCAGGGTCACAGCAAGCCTTTGTCATCCGCTCCCACAACACATCCCCAAGGCTCCACCCCTCCCGCATGCCTGGCCCGGCGCCACACTGAGCGCGGGCTGTACCAGAGGGATCAACTGGTTTTGGTGCAGTGGGGTCAGGGCTTCAGTGAGATCGAGCAGGATCTGATCAGCTGTGACTATGTGAAGGACACAGAGATCCAGGAAGCAAGATTGCAGAGCCCTTACTGGTTGAGAAATCTGCCCATGAAAAAGCCAAGTGGGGAGAGGGAGGGCCTCCCGGGGACACAGCCGTGAGCACAGGCCCAAGGGGAGACCAACGCGGCCTCTGTGAGGGCTCTGGGGACAAGTAACAATGGATGGGTGCCAACCGGGCACTCAGTTTACTAACTTGTATTTCTCCATCTTTTCTCACCACCATGTGAGAAACGTATTTCACTTCCTCGACTGTATCACCTAGATTCAGGGTGCAGCCTAAACGTCAGAGAGAAAGACATCTACAATCCTAAAAACAGAACTGCGGAACAGGCTTGGAAACCCATGCAGAGCTGAGCTGGGGTAGCCACAGCTCAGCAGCTGCTTGGAGGCTCACCTGGACCACGTGTGCATCCCCAGCTGCACCGAGGCTCACCTGGACCACGTGCACCCCCCCCAGCTCTACCGAGGTGCATCTGAGGCTCATCTGGACCACGTGTGCACCCCCAGCTGCACCGAGGCTCACCTGAGGCTCACCTGGACCACGTGCGCACCCCCCAGCTGCACCGAGGCTCACCTGGACCACATGCACCCCCCCCAGCTCTACCGAGGTGCACCTGAGGCTCATCTGGACCATGTGTGCACCCCCAGCTGCACCGAGGCTCACTGAGGCTCACCTGAACCACGTGTGCACCCCCAGCTGCACTGAGGCTCACCTTGTCCATGTGCGCACCGCCAGCCACAGAGGCTCACCTAGACCACGTGCACTCCCCCCCAGCCGCAGAGGCTCACCTTGTCCACGTGCGCGTGCCAGTACTCATCGTGAGCCGTCCGAGCCTCTGTGCTGTTGATGCGGGAGAAGAACGTGGGCTTTGTCAGGTACAGCGAGGACGCGCTGATGCCAAAAGCCTGGGCGATTGCGAGCTGGACCTTGTGCCGCACGTCCCTGCAGAGAGGACGCATGCGTCATCTGGAGCAGTGTGGCCTCGGAAGAGAGAATGCTCCACGGGTACCACTGTGTCCACATAGGGCTACGTGGACTGGAGGAAGGCAGGAAGATGGACACGCATGCGACATCCCACACACGTGTCACAGGATACCATGTGCAAGGCCAGTCCCTGGTACGAACGACAGCTGTATCCCGCGGGGGCAGTGTCACGGGGACACAGAGCAGTGGCAGGAGGTGAGCGGTCCTCTGTGTGCAGCCCTCACCTTCCCGAGCAGCTGGAGAGGCCTGCACTGAGGAGGACACTGGGCGTGGTCAGGGGCTGGGCCTGCAGGAGACACGGGTCCCTCCCTGGCACGTCCAGGGGACTGGGCTCTAAGCCACACATGTGCAGCCATGTGCCAAGGTCCTAAACCACATCCCAGGTGATACAGCTTGAGCACAACCGGACGTAAATCATTCTAACATTTCCAACCCGCTGGCTGGCCCTCCGACATGCATGTCACTAGCTGTAGGGTGCTCCCACCTAGGCAAGGGCTCTGATGGGCGCATCAGAGGCACCCCCTCAAGCTCCTCTCAGGAAGTAGAGTGTTGACTTTAACGTCAGTGATGAGGTTCACGGAACCTCGGCTGAACCAACAATGACATTCAAAACACCTCCACCTTCAACCGAGTATGAAATATGTACTCAATGTCTCTTACCAGCCAAGTCGTAAAAATTATATATGGGCTGTCATTTATTTAGTCAGCTCACTTCTCTCAACCCTTACCTTCAAGTTGCACACTTTCTACTTAATGATAAAAACAGTGAACAAAGCAGACTGGTGAGGCCAGCAGCATGACCAGCCACATGATCACAGAGCAGCCGGGGGCCCCCAAAACCACGTTTCTCAGCGTGCCAAGCGGGACTCCACCTCCCCCCAGGAGTCATACAGGGGGGTCTGACATCCTTGACTCTCAGGACACCCTGCGGCCAGCAGCAGCAGCCAGTGAGGCATGTTAGTGTATGGAACCAGTTATTGCCTTTCCCATTTGTGCATAAAGAGTTCTTCAGCCCTGGCCAGTCTGGCTGAGCAGTTAGAGCGTCGGCCTGCGGTCCAGAGAGACCAGGGTTCGGTTCCCGCTAAGGGCACGTACCTCGGTTGCAGTTTGTCCCCAGCCCTGGTTGGGTAGTGTGGGTGGCAACCACTCGATGTGTCCCTTCACATCGGTGTTTCTCTTTCTCTCTCCCTCCCACTCTATCTAAACAAAAAATGGAAAAATGTCCTTGGGTGAGAATTTAAAAAAAAAGAGTTCTTCAAACCTTCTGTCTGGCCCTGGCCAATGTGGCTCAATGGTTAGCACATCGGCCCAGGCACTAAAGGATCTCTGGTTCAATTCCCCATCAAGTGCACATACCTGGGTTTCGGGTTCAATCCCTGGCCCTGCTTGGTGTTGTGCAGGAGGCAACTAATCCATGTGTGACTTTCACACAGTTTCCCTCTCTCTCTGTCTCTCCCCTAACCTCCCTTCCACTCCCTCTAAAAATTAATGAAAAAAATATCCTTGGGTGAGGATTAACAACAACATAAAACAACCTTCTGTCTGGACCAGTAGCCTGGGTTGCATTTTCCAGTTGTTTCCCTAGAAGCTGATACAGGGGGACTGTGGGCTTATTTCCAGGCAATGTGGCTGGGTAAGAACGACCCCAGGTAGTTGGGGATGGGGGCTGTGGTTGTGAAAGGGGGACACGGGGGTCCTCACGGTGACGGACACTGTCAGCATCGTGATGTCAGTGGTCCTCACACGCCCTATGCGGTGATAAAATTGCACAGGACACACACACACTCAAACCGAATGAAGTAAAACCAGGGCATCTGACCATGACAGTGGGCTGTACTGGTGTCGATTCTGGGGACGATGCTGGACTCTGGCTGGAAGAAACGGGGTGAAGCGTTCACAGGATCGCCTGTGCTACTTATAATTGTGTGAGTCTTGATTATCTCAAAACAAAAAGGCTAATTTAATAAAGACCCCCACAGGCAGGGGACCTGCCTGACACGCGACACGGCATGTGCGATGTGTCGTGTGACCAGCACAGCCCTTGCAGGACCGGGGACTGCTCGTGGGGCAGTCAGGAGAGCTGCTGGGCCCACACGAGGCTGGCTTTGTGACCTGCCTCACACTGGCCACTGCTTCTTGGCCTGGACCCTAACGGGGTGGTTGGTGAGCACGATCGTCCAGCGGGATCCATGGAGGTGGGTGCTGCTTGGTATTAACCAATATGCAAATTTCAGCTCAAGCTCCAAGGCTGATCCCGGACACTCGGCTGGTGCCGGCCCTGCGAGAGGACCAGGGAAGAGGTGGGCACACCACCTCTCCACTCGCAGCCCCGTGCCCTCCCCGTCCACGCTGACCCCTCCTCACCGGTACAACTGGAAGTCTTCCTCTGAGAAGATATTTTCTATTTTATCCCCAAAGTATCTGAAAAAGTAAGAAGTATTGACAAATGTAACATTTTATTAATTTTTCCTTTAAATTCAGTCTTTCCTCCAGGTAGCCCACAGGTCCCTGAAAACCAGCTGGTCCTGTAAGTTGGAGCTGATGTTTCTACACTGATGCTTTTCTGGTAAAGGGATGGGAGACAGGCAGTCAGGACTGCCCGGCAGACTGAGGATGCCGTTCCAAGGCTGGGACAGTCTAGGCTCCTCCTACCCCTGGGGACAATCAGAGTCCCTCAGGCCCTACAGCTCACATGGCTCACAGGGAGCCGGCCTGTCGCCTCTCCCTCTCTCCCTCGCCTGTCCCCTGGCCTCGAGCGGGCCGCAGCTTCCCAAGAGTCCCCGACTAGCACTAGACCATTCCCTGAAGTTTGGGCAACAGGGATGCTGCCCTCCAAGAAGGGCCGCGCCTTCCGGTCCTTGCCTGGCCCTCATCCCTGCGGCAAACGTCAGTTTAGCTAAGAGCTGAAGCCACTCTGACGCAAGCCTCACGTGGTGTCCCCAGCTCGGAGCCGCGAGCTCAGGTCGTGCTGTTAGGGTTGCGGCCCCTCGGACTCTCACCTGTACAGGTTCACAAAGTGCTTCCCGACAGACAGGGCGCCTGAGTGCAAGTCCAAGATGGACGCCTGCAAAGGACATTCGCAGAGCTTGAGGGTGCGGGGCGGTGGCGACAGGGGCCACAAGCGACTGCGGAGATCCGTCCTAGCACACCCGGGGTCAGGGAGGCGGCACGCACGGGCAGTCTTCAGAAAGTTAGAACCAGGGTGTGTGTAGCATGGATCCCAGTCTCTGCTGCCTAAACAGCAAACTGGTCTAATTCTGAAAACTAGACCAGAGATGGCGCCCCCCAGATATACCTGTGAACCCCTGCAACTAAATCATAGCCCCTCCCTCCCACCCACATGCAGCTTTGTTGATGTAAAACCAACACACAACATCTGCTCCTGTTTAAAGTGTACAGTTTGGTAAGTTTTGATGTGCGTAAACACCCATGCAACCATCAAGGCCATAAACACACCCATCACCCCCAAATCTCCTCGCACTCCCTGGCAATCCTCCCCTCCTGCTTTCCTCCACCCACCCGGCCCCCAGGCACTGACGGGCTTTCTGCCGTAACAGACTGGTCTACGTTTCCTGGAGTCGAGGTCAGCGGAACCCGATACACTCGGCTTTGGCTGCTTGCACGGCAAACACCCTTTCCCCAAATAAGTCCCATTCCCAGGCTCTGGGGGGGCCACTGGCCCCTGCAGTCTCCCACAGTGGACGGCAGTGCCCACACCTGGTCTGGGGGCCTCCCGCAGGGAGTGGGAGGAGAGGCACTGGCATGTTGGTCATTCTTTCCAGGGCTGTCGCCCTCCTCACCAGGCTCCTGCTGCGGACTCGCCCCTCAGCGACCTGCCTGTGACCCCTCCTCCTGCCCAGCATTCTGAAATGCAAGTGACCTGAAGCTGGCAGCTGTGACATACTCTGAGGACAGGGAACTCTCATCCCCACTGAGTGGTGCCCCAGGGAACCAGGACCCGTCCACGAGGGTGTGGGGGCACCCAAGGGCCCTGCATATCCATTGCCTCCTCCTTCTGGGAGGGAGGGCACGTTAAAGGAATAAAGAGAAAACAAGCAGGAATTGCATACAACTCACCCCTCCATCGGATCCTCCCAGGGAGAGCCCCTTCTCAGCTATGCTGTAGAAAAGATCATTTTAAGTTGGATTTATTAATAGTCTTATCTGTGACATATCTAGGCAAATATCAGTCCCACGATTAATGCAGTGTTAACAGATTGTGTAATGTCTATGAGATAAGCACATGTTTAGACCACAGGACTCAACTTCCAAAGCTGGGTGAGTGGCAATATTTATCATCACAGGACACAGTTCAGGAACAAGTGGGCTTCATGGCAGTGAGCCAGACTGAATGGCTGAACTACTCCATGAGTCCCTGTCCTGGTCACCACAGGCTGTGGGGTGGCCTCTGAAATCACTAGTTCAGAAAGTCAAGGCCCTGCGGCAGCCTGTGCTGGACTTGACAAGACCACCTGACCAAACGCTCTGCAGCTGCCTAGGACACTGCCTGGGGGAGGGCCAATCCCTAAGACCAGTGCCCCCACCTGAGGAGCCCCAGTGTGGTCTGGGGTTGGGAGCATCTCCCGCTGGGACTGTCAGCTTGGTGTGTGGCAGACATCAACAATGTCAGCCACAGCGTGAGGGCCAGACTCCACTCCACTTGGTGCTCACTTCCAAAGACGTTCTGTGTCTGAATAGCTCATCGGAAAACCTAAGCCTTAAGATCCTGTTTTTAAAACATCAAGCAGGAAAAATGAAACTACTTCTGAGTGAGGCTTCCTGCTCTATATGAGTCACTGTTAGTGGCTGCAGGGTTAATCCTCACCCAGTTCTGGAGGAGACAGAACCAGCGCCTACTGACCACCTGCTGTGGGCGGACACCCCACCTCTACACAGGTGCCTGCTGGGGCCCTCAGGAGCTGATGGAGCAGTACCCCCACCCGACCACCTGACCTACCCTTGTCTTGGAAGCACACAGGAAATTCTTGTGAAATTCTAAATAAACTCTGAGTCATCATTTTGGTCACACTTCTCTGCTTCCCACCCCTCAGCCCCACATTCCTGCTGGTTCAGCACAGAAGCTCGGAGACGTATCATACCTGCGGATCCGCCGGGCTTCATCCCTGGTGATGACAGCATCCGTGACGCCCCGGCCGCACCTGGTAGGGGAGCAGCCTGGAGAGAGAGGAGTCAGGGTGAGGTCAACCTAATGACAATAAATCCCCAAACAAAGCCTGAGGGACACTGGGGTTTTCTGAGATGGGGCCTTGCCTTACACAGGATTTGGGGGGCCAGATTTGGCAAACAAAGTAGGGGACACCCAGTTACACTTGAATTTCAGATAAGCAAGGATGCCTTTGAGTATGAGTGTGTCCTATGCAGGACAGACACATCATCTCACTGGGCGGCCATGTTTCTAGTGGCCCAGCACCAAGCAGTCACTTGGGAGACACCTGACACTCCACCCACTGCAGCCCAACATTCTTAAGCACCTGTCAGAAAGTCCCTCCTGCGTGACCAAAGTTGTACCTGATTCTAGTCACTGTCCTATCCCAGGGGCTCACCAACTGCTACCAACAGCAGGTGGTCACTAGGCGCTGGTTCTGTCTCCTCCCTCTGCTGATTTGCACCTGGGACCTGCAGCTGCTTAGAGGGAGAAGGCTGGAGAAGCTACAGTGGGGCCAGGGCCAGGCTGGGGGTGACAGGGCCAGGACTAGGCAGAGCATCAGAGACGATGAGCTCAGCAAGCTCCTTGTGTTTGGCAGGAAGGGCAGGCTGGCTTCCCCACACCAGATGGCCATGGGACACGTCCTAGCTAAGATGGAGCCTGAGGACAGTCTCAGGACAAGCTGGGCTGGTTGACCTCTAGCTTTTCCCCTTTTTCCCCTTTTCCTTCCTGGAGTGTAAGCCTGGTGCCTGGAGGCAGAATGGGTGCCCAGGACCAGGAGCCCTTGCTGAGGGGCTCAGATGCAGATGGGCTTCGGTGGTGCCAGGTGGCCTGGGGTGCTCTTCTCTGGGCCTTGCCTTGTAGGAAAATAAACTGCAGCTTGGGGGAGGGTGGTCACTGGGGCATGGATGCCTCAGTTCCATGGGGCTAAATACAATCCTACTGATACAGGTGTTTTTTAAATTAAAAAACAAAGCCAGATACATGCTTTTTATTGTTGTTGCTGATCCTTACCCAAGTATATTTTTTCCACTGCTTTTTAGAAAGAGCGGGGGGGGGGGGGGACGGGGGGGACGACGACACATGGATTGGCTGCTTCCTACACGTGCCCAGTCGGGGCCGGGACACAACCTGTAACCCAATACATGCCCCTGACTGGGAATCAAACCTGTGACCCTTTGGTGAACCACACCGGCCAGAGTGTCCAGCTATTTTTTTTTAAATTCTGGTAAAATATACATAACAGAAAACTTACTGCTTTAACCATCTTCACGTGGCATGAAGTGCGTTCTCTCTTTTGTGCGACCATCATCCATTTCATCTCCTGAACTCTGTCCTCTTCCCAAACGGATCCCCATATCCATTTAACACTAACCCCCCCGTCCCCCTCCCTCATTCCCACTGTTTTTAACGTTGATAAGTTATTAAACAGGTAGGATGGGAACTTTTCCTCAGTTCCAACTATTGAAAAATATTTTCTTGAACGCTGGACTTTAAAGGGAAAAGCCAACTAAGGCAGAGCGCCAACCACACAGCCGGCTCCTTCCCGGACCGCTCAGGAGGACGACGCCCCCTTCCGGCCTTGCCCAGTGAACTGCATTCCTCCCAGTTAAATACTCTCCTGCGCATGTCAACAGCGCCCCTTGGTGGAAGGACTTGGCAATCTCTTCTTGGTTCAAGCTCAAAGCATTGCTCTTAATAAAAAATAAACTGAATCCTGCTTCTAGAACCGGGTCGCCCAGGCTAGTTTTTCAGACGGAGACAGCATCCGCCAGCAGGGGGGAAATGCAGGAAAGTACAGTTGCCAAAGGCGGCACCGGAGCATCACCCCGCCCGAGGTCTGTGCGCTCTCCAGGGTGCTGAACCCCGCCAACCCTCTGCCTCTGGGCTCCTCCGGCACAACCCGCTGACCTTACCCAGATCGCTGACCACGCCCTCTTCCTGCCCTCTCAGAGGGGAGGGTGCCAGGATGGGACACGCGCCCACGTCGGAGAAGGACCTGTGATAGTGACGTTCCCTACTGCAACATTTTCTGCAGTGACAATACCGTAAGACACTCTCCACAGCCAATACCTTTTCTGGTTTCAACCTTCTCATCCCTCCTTTTCCAATTCTATTACACCCCTCAGGCTAACCATCTCCTCCAGCAGACAGTGCCCACAGTGAGGGGCACCTCAGTGAAACGCTGACCACGGCCTCCAAGGTCCTCCAAGGTGACCAACAGGCCTGCCCTGTGCAGAGCCTGAAACACCAGCACTTCCCAGCCCAGGTATGGGCTAACAAACCTGGGGTAGAGGAAAGGTCACCTGCCACCCCCCACCACTTTCAACCTGATCTCCACCGGTTCAACGTGCCTTTTAAACGCGCTGCATTTCATGTTAATTTGCTGCTCTTTCCTGGATCACCCCAGCACCTACCTTCGAACCTTCGGTGACTGTTATAGTCCTCGGAGCAGGGCACCTCGATGAACCTGCCCAGCAGGACCTCACTACGGTGAGCCAGGACCTCAGTGACACCATCATCGCTCCCCAGACTGCCCCAGAGCAGGAGTGCAGCAAGCGTGGCACAGACCCCCAGGACCGTGGCTCTCAGCCACTTTCTCCACACCTCCCGTGGTGCCCGGGCACTCTTCATGCTGAGAACAGAAAACACAGCCATGGTCACCCACATGCACTTGTGTGTGCTGAAAGGGCAGACCATGACAACCAGAGGCCACGTCCACAGTTGGTTACAGCCTTGATCTGTCCCTCCACTACCTACTGTCAAAGCTACAGTCAATTGACACTTCCTGTGCAATCTGGGGTCACTGTGTGGCTCACACTGCCTGTGCTGAAGCTGCATGGGTGTTTGTGTGTGTTTGTGCAGTGCATTCCCATGCCCATGTCTGTAACTGAGCAGCTGTGCACTCTGTTGTCTAGGAAAGACTTGGTGGCTACAACACTTGATGAAGTGGCAGAAAATGAGGAAAAAGATCAGGGCATCCTTTCATGGAGGTGGGGGTGACTTGTTTCTTCAAGTACGTAATTAACTCCTGGAAAGCAGGGCACCTGCCCTCTGTGTTTATATGTTCTTCACACCTCACACTGTTAAATCAATAATTCCAATGAAATAAACCCCAAGGTGGGCACAGTGCAGTCAGACCATGTTGGTGGATACATGATCATTTTATTTTTTATTAATTTTTCCATTGAGTTTTTGATAGAGTGGAAGAGAGAGGGGGAAATATTGGTGTGAGAGAGATACATTCATTGGTTGCATCCCACATGACCCTGACCAGGCTGGGGATCGAACCTGCAACCCAGTTTGGAAATCAAACTTGAGACCCTTTGGTCCATGGGCCGACACTCTAACCGCAGAGCCAAACCAGCAAGAGCAATACTTGATCATTTTAAACAGGATTTCAGACAGCTGGGGGTTCTGCCCAGCCCACAGAGACCCGACACCCATAGAACTGCCTACCCAGCCTCCAGTGATTAGACTGGGGGGACACCTGACCCCAGTGGGCCCATCATTTCTGTTCCCCAAGAATTTGGACCAGGCACGGTAAGTGTCAGTCCCCCTCGGCAGCAGGTGGCGGAAACCCTAACCTGCAGGTGCAGGCAGAGCTGTGGGCCACACGTTCCGGACAACCTGGGACAGCCTGGCTGCTGAGCCAGGAAGGGGAAGAGTGGAGCAGGAGGCGCAGGGGGCGAAAAGTGGAAAAACAGCTCCTGATCTGGTCAGATCTGGATGTGACACTCCCCTCTGAGTCTCCTCAAAAGAAGCACCCTGTGTGGGGTAAGCTGCCAAAACAGAAGGAGGCTGCTTTTTCAGGTCTTGGAGATCCGTGGCCCAGAGTGTAAGCCCACCACACGGCGATGTGTCCTGCGGTGATTAAAATGCACCCTGGCTCCCCTCGAAGGCAACGTGCTGAGATGGTCACTTATTCCTTCATCGGGCCATCCACGGGGAGCCCTCCTGTGCAGAGCCCTCAGGAAAGCACACGGGGCCAGATGGCGAGGCCGGGGAGCCCGGCCCCGGGGGGAGCCCGGCGTGAAGCTGTCTGCGTGGAGCCACCTGTACACACAGGCAGCGGAGTCAGGGAAGGTTTGGGGCGGGGCCCTCCTCCTACCTCTGACTCCCAGACCACGCCTCCCACTGCCTCTGAGCCTGGGACTAAGGGCGCCGGCAGGGGCGGGATTCCGCAGGCCCCACCCACAGAACGCCCTCGCCCCCACGAGGGCCCCGCCCACGAACCCTAGCCCTCCCTCCGACCACGCCCACCCCCGGCAGCGCGGCGGAGACCACGCCCACTTCAGCAGACCCCCACCACGAGGCAGCCCGGCTGAGACCACGCCCACTCCAGAAGACCACACCCACACAGCGGCCCGGCTGAGACCACGCCCACTCCTGCAGACCACACCCACACAGCGGCCCGGCTGAGGCCACGCCCACTCCTGCAGACCACACCCACACAGCGGCCCGGCTGAGGCCACGCCCACTCCTGCAGACCACACCCACACGGCAGCCTGGCGGAGACCACACCCACGTCCGGGCCCGCTGCCCGCTCGCGCCCTCCCGCGCTGGCCGGTACCTGCTCGGGCGCCTGCGTTCGGCCACCCCGCTGCTTTCGGGCGCCTTGGGCGCGCCCCTCCGCTGAGGCGCCATCGGGCCAGCCCGCCGGGTAGCCTGGGCGGACGCGGGAGCCGCCCGAGCCGGGGCAGCGCCGCGAGAGGTAGCGCGAGGCTGGCGCGGCCGGAGACGCGGAGCGACACGCTCGGCCGTCGACCCCGGGGCTGGCGGCCAGACCCGAGCAATCGCAGGCCGAGCGCCGGGACCTGGGCGCGCACCCCGCCGCGTGCCCGATCCCGGGCTCTCCGCGCTCCGGGGTCCGGCCACAGCTGAGAGCGCCCGCGCGCCCGTGCTCGGGGCGCCGAAGGCCCTCTGCTTTCTGCTGCGAGACCCTTCGTGCGGCGGGGAACGATGCGACCTCACCCGGCCCTGTCCAGACACCTGCGATTCTTAATAACGAGTCCGTGAGGGTCGTGCGTGAGGATTCAGTCTGAAGAAGGTGAGTCATTGCCTGATGGGGGTCGGGTGGGAAACCTGAAACGGGACACGGGTGCCATCGCGGGCCACTCGGGGCGCGGTCGCCTGCCCAGGGGCCGCGGAGCCAGCGACAGCTGCAGACCTGCTTGCACTCTGCTAAGGAACAGTGACAGTGGACCCAGGTCTCCAAGTAACCTCATTTCTATAGACCTCTTGCGGGCGCGGGTCCAAGCAAAGGAATGGGCACAACAGCAAGATGGGGCTCACTTCTCTCCCTGTTCCTTGGCATGTTGGCAGGAACGTGGGTTGTCGAGAACTCTGGCCCTGGCCGGCGTGGCCGAGGTGGCCGAGGTGGTTGGGCGTGTCCCGGCACCGAAGGATTGCGGTTCGGTTGCGAGTTCCATCCCCAGTAGGGGGCGTGCAGGAGGCAGCCAAGCGATGCTTCGCGGTCACATCAGTTTTGCTCCCTTTTCCTTCCTCTCTCTCTATAAATCAATTTAAAAAAAGAACTCTGATGTGGCTGTTACAGGTGAGATGTCTCTGTTCTTTTTATCCCATTGTTACAGGAGTAACAGGATTTCTGTCCGAATATGAGCCGCACACACAACCAATGCAGATTCTTCAGCTCGAAATGTCCTGTTTAAATCAGTTCCCTGAAAAATAAATTCGGTTTGTAAGCTTTTTAAGCATTTAAAGTTCCGCTTCAAAAGCATTACAGTTTTTCTGAATGCTTTTTCATGAAATTCACCCACTCTCTGCTGGTAATTTAGGTAGTTGCCTTAGGTAGAGCCCAGCTGGTGTGGCTTATGGTTGAGCGTCCACCCATACACCAAGAGGTCGCCGGTTCCATGCCTGGTCAGTGCACATGACCAGGTTGTGGGCCCGTCCCCAGTGGGGGCATGCAGGAGGCAGCCAATCAATATTCTCTCTCATTGATGTTTCTCTCTCTCTCTCCCTCTCCCTTCCTCTCTCTCTAAAAATCAATAAAGAAAAAAAAGTTAAAAAAATATTTTGTCACTGAGATTGTCTTGACTGTATCTTTTAAAAAAATACGTTTTTATTTATTTTTGTTAGAGAGAGAGAAAGGGGGAGAGAGATAAAAGCATGGATGTGAGCATGGAAGGGCTGCCTCCTGCACGCCCCCTACTGGGGATCAAGCCTGCAACCCAGACAGACTTGATTAGAATCCAACCGGGACCTCTCAGTCCATGGGAGGGCCCTCAACCCACGGAGCCACACTGGCAGGGCATTGATTATATCTTTTTTTTTTCTTCCTTAGGCAGATTTGTTTCTGTGTGCATCTATTTTATCTCCTCCTCTGTACTATAGCCTCTCCAAGGTCTGGTTTATGAACCTTTGTGCAGAGTTTGAGTTATTGAACTGTACATATGACCAATATAGCAAGATTTTCCTTTCCCATTAATCCTTTGTGCTTCTATAGTAGAAAAGAAAAAAAGATTTCACTGTTTCCCACCTGCTTCATTGTCATCCAGATACTCTCTTCAACCTAAACCAGCCAGCCCTAGACACATGTGTGGCTCATTCATTTTTCAAATTATTAATGGCCTATTTTATTTGTTATTTTAAAATATATTTTTATTGATTTTTTTAGAGAGACAGGAAGGAAGAGGGAGATAGAAACATCGATGAGAGAGAAACATCAATCAGTTGCTGCTGGCATGCCACCTGCTGGGAATCAAGCCCGCAACCTGGGCATGTGCCTTGACTGGGAATCAGACTGGAACCTATGAGTCCATGGACGACACTCAACCACTGAGCCACACTGGCCAGCCTAATGGCCTATTTTAATTTGATTAATTTTTTGTTGTTGTTATTAATCCTCACCCAAGGATATTTTCCCATGAATTCTTAGGTAGAATGGAAGGAAGGGAGGGGAAGAGAGAGAGACTTCAGTGTGAGAGAGACACATTGATTAGTTGCTTCCCACATGACCCCAGTCGGGCCAGGGATCAAACCCACAACCCAGGTACATGCCCTTGACTGGGAATCAAACCTGAGACCCTTCAATCCATAGGCCGATGCTCTAACCACTGAGAAAACCAGCCAGGGCTAATTAATTAATTAATTTTTTTGCCCTTTTTTTTTTTATTCAAGACTGGTTGACATACAGTATTATATGAGTCTCAGGTGTACAAGGTAGTTATTCAGCATGTCAACGGCCTATTTTAAATCCTAGACAGTTCTCTGACCTAGCAGGAATGTTTGCAGTTTCTTCATGAGAGCAAGCTGACTGGCTCTGGAAATGTAAATTTTTTAAAATTTTTTCTTTATTGATTTTAGAGAGAGAGGAAGGGACATGGAGAGACAGAAACATCAATGAGAGAGAACATTGATCGGCCGCCTCCTGCTATGCCCCCCTCCCCCAGTGGGGAGTTGGCCCACAACCTGGGCATGTGTCCTGACTGGGAATCAAACTGGTACCCTCTTGGTGCATGGGTCGACGCTTAACCAGTGAGCCACACCGGCTGGGCTGGAAATGTAAATGTTTTTAATGCTATCCAAAGTAAAATAAAATTGAGGATTAACTTTTCACAGAAACATATTGTGGGGCCTGAAATGATGTTTGGAGACAGCTGCCCACCTATTTGCACTGGCACAGGGCGGGCAGCTTAAGTGGATCTCTAAAACAGGAGATTATTTTGCAGTGACTTGTGTTCCCACAGATCAGAGCCTCCTTGTAAGGAAACCAGAGCTGCCCTGGCCGGTTCGGCTCAGCGGTTGGAGCGTTGGCCTGCGGTACAGAGAGACCCAGGTTCGGTTCCTGCTAAGGGCATGTACCTCGGTTGCAGTTTGTCCCCGGCCCTGGTTGGTTGTGTGGGTGGCAGCCACTCGATGTGTCCCTTTCACGTCGATGTTTCTCTCTCTCTCTCTCTCTCTCTCCCTCTCCCTCTCCCTCTCCCTCTCCGTCTCCCTCCCACTCTATCTGAACAAAAAATGAAAAAACGTCCTCGGGTGAGGATAAAAAAAAGGAAACCAGAGCTGTTCTGCTTAAGGGGCATGTCGCACTTCAATGCGGAGATTCCCCCTGCTCGAATGTGGACAGACATCTTGATTTCTGCCACGTTGGTGGAATGAGTTCCTCCTGGTTGATATCAGAACTGGAGCAGGAGGCAGAGGCCTCTGCCCGCTCATGACTCTGAGTTTCTCTACCAGGAAGACGTGCCCGGACAAGAGATATTTGTCGTGTGACTTCACAAAAAACCGTGAGATGTCAGGCCCCTCGCCATTCAAGATGCGATTTGTTCATCTGGACCTTAAAGGAGCCCCGCCAAAGGTCTCCTACCTCTCGGAGGTAGGAGCTCCCTTTTACCTCCAGGGAATCGCTTCGGGTTTGGTCTTTAAGTTATGAACAGTGTCCTGTAGAAACGTGTGCTTAGAACTCAGCCTCAGGGTCTGGGCTGGGTCACGGTGGTGGCAGCTGTGAATTTTTTCATATCCCTCCAGTCCCCTCGCAGAGCAGACGGAGGGCAACCAGGATAGTAAAAGGAAAAGCAGGCCAAAGAAACCCCCAACCTCTTCACTGTGGGCTGAATGTGTCCCCCCAAATGATGCGTTCAGATCCTGTCCCCTGGTACCTGTGAACGGGACCCGATTTAGAAATAGGGTCTTTGCAGATGTCGTCGACATGAGGTAAGGACATACATGTGTTTGTAATTTACAGTCAGTTATTGGTTACTCATGTGATGAAGTATTACAGCTGATTTTATTTTTTTATTTATTTTTTTATCCTCACCCAAGGACATGTTTCCATTTTTTGTTCAGATAGAGTGGGAGGGAGAGAGAGGAAGAGAGAGAGAGAAACATCGACGTGAAGGGACACATCGAGTGGCTGCCACCCACACGACCCAACCAGGGCCAGGGACACACTGCAACCGAAGTACATGCCCTTAGCAGGAACCGAACCCGGGTCTCTCTGGACTGCAGGCTGACGCTCTAACCCTGAGCCAAACCGGCCAGGGCTGTTACAGCTGATTTTAGTCCCAAGCTGATGTCCTCCTTCCGTTCAGCATGCTTCAGAACGTCCCAGATTCTCAGGGGAAGAAACTTTGACACAAATCCTGTGAGACCTGCGACGGCCCTCGCCTGGACACGGGTTGCTGTTTCACATACCTGCAGGGAGCCCTTCCCTCAGCGCCCACAATGTGCCATGTGTCACCGTAGCCGTGACGCCAGACTGGAAGGAAGTCCTAGCCCTGTGTAGAGTGGACATGACCTGGTCCTAAAAATCCTTGAGGATGGGAAGTCGTATCTTCTGAAATAAAGACAGAGTAATTGGGGAGCCAGTGAGGTAGCCAGGACCAGCTGCGCCTGTTCCCTTTTGTCTTCCTCTACGGTTCTTCCAGGCACCGCCACCAGCCAGAGCCCTGTTGTCCCCCCCATTCCTCCCTGTGACCGCAGCCGCTGGCCCTGCCGGCCCTGCCCTACCTCCCCAGCTAAGCCTCGTGCGCGGCCCCAGCGCAGTGTCCGTGAATGTGTCACTGCGTCAGAGCTGGATTTGACACCAAGTACACATACCAGGGAGAAGACGAACGTCAGCAACAATCTGTGTCCGTCAGCTGAAACGGCCCCGTGCTGCCTGTGCCACTGTCCTTCAAACAGTCACTTCTCATGTTCCCTCCCCCCAGGCGTTCCCTCTGTTCCGTGCCTTGGGCGCCACTGGCCTCCTCATCGAGTACGAAGACACGTTTCCCTACGAGGGCCACCTGAGGCTGCTGCGGGCCCAGCACGCGTACAGGTATCTGCCCCTTGGAGCGCGGGGGCAGCAAGCTGGGGAGGCGGGTAGGGCAGGCGAGAATTTCTCGAGGGTAAGACAACCCCGTCTGTCTTTTTAAATGCATGTCTTGAATTATAAAAACAAAATGTGTTCATAGAACAGTGGAGAGATGAAGCAAGGTCTGTGGTCCCCCAAGGGGAAGCTGTGATCTTGTCTTGGGCAGGTGTGAAGTCAGACAGACCGCCCTGACCGGTGCTGTGGGGAAGGGGGCTGCTCCTGCCAGCCCGGCAAAGCTGTCGGATATGGCGGTCCTGGGTGCACCTCACTGGCTTCAGCATCACAGCATCCGTGTACCTCAACAGCAAACAGCCCAAAGACGAATGGGCAAAGGACGTTTACTGGCAGGTCCCAACAGAAGAAAGAAAAATGGCCAATAACTGTGTGATAATAATAAAAGGAGTTAAAACAACAGTGAAAAGTCATTTTGGCTTTAAAAAATTATAACACTTGTGTCCACGAGGGTGAGAAAAAGCAGAGCGCCCACTGGTGGACTCAAAGCCTGGCTGTCCTGGGGCTTGGCTCTGTGTGTCAAAACTCCCCCAAACACTGTTCGAGCCCCACTGGCCCAGGCATGTTACCATCGGGGCGAGACTGCCCAAGGTTGTGTTTACTTTCTGCTACTCTGTTCTTCCTGCGATGAACACATTTTATTTGTTTTTAAGTGAAAGGGGTGCAGGGTTCCTGTGGAGCTTGAAAAAGGTACATCAGTGTAAAGAGAGAACTTTACATCATCAATGCACTTACAGGACTGGTCAGCTTAGGAGAGGGTTCAACCACGTGGAACTGGAAGTCGCTTTCTCTTTGAGATGAGTTTATACAAGGCGGCAGTCAGCCCGGAGGCACCTGAGGGCCCTCCAGCTCCCTCTGGGGGGCTCCCTCCACTGCAGGTGCAGTGCTCGCTCCCTCGGGGCCTCTGTGGAAGGATTCTCAGCTCTGGCTGAGCCCACTGGGTCCCTGTTACCACTCTTTGTGGGGCAGAAGCAGCCAAAGGTGACGTGAGAATGACCGGGCTGTGTTCCAACAAACTGCCTGGACACTGAAATACTTTTCTGAATCATTGAAAACGTGGAAACCACTCTGATCACAGCTGTGCTAAAGTGGACGGGGATTTGCCCGCAGGTCCGCCTGCAACCCTGCTCTGTAATACATTCCCGGGTGGCCCTTACTGGTAAAGTGACTTCACCATCCTGTGGTTGGGTAATGATACCTGGTGAAAAGCAAGCTGTTATTTGAGGCCGTAACAGCATCACGTCCCCAAATTCTAGAGCAGGAAGGTCTCTGGAACCTTTAGAATACCTGTTGAGCTTTTCAGAGTTAGCGACCACCCCGGTTTCTGCAGGAGAGTCCCCAGGAGCCTGACGAGGAGGGGCTGGGGGAGCGTGCACTCCACAGCATGACCCTCTCTGGGTGACTTGTCTCTGCAGCCCTGCTGAAGTCAAAGAGATCCTGCGTCTGGCCGCACTGAATGAGCTCGAGGTCGTCCCCTTGGTGCAGACGTTTGGACACATGGAGGTAAGTGGGAGGAATGGGAGTCCCCTGGTGCCCAGGTGTGGGGTTTGGGGGTGCACTGCAGGGACAGGCTCTCGGAAGCCCTGTGAACAGCAGAGATTGCGCAGCGGTGGGTCAGACTGCCTCTGCCCCAATGGAGGGCGAGCCAGGGACAGTGATGCCCGCAGAGCTCGGGGCCGCTGTTTGCTCCTTAACTGTGTTCATCAAAGTACTGCTGAGCAGCATCAGGCAAAGGGAACATGCTCTCTGTTTTCTGTTTGTGTCCTTTTCCACTTAACATTGGAAATACTTTCCCTCGCACCTACGTGATCTTCAGAAACAATTTTCACGTCTATATCAGTGGGAAGCAGATTAAACTCAAGGCTGGTTCCGTGTTTTTCTCTCACGAATCCACGCAGCCCTGCGCCTGTGTCTGCCCTCAAGTGCCTGCTCGGGTTCTGGGGCGTTTCTCCTGGAATTTTGTCCCAGAACCAGCCCCCGGCTGTGCTGGGTCACTCCCACCGCTGTGCTCTCTGGTCTCTCCCCCTCTGGGGCCCAAAAAGGTTGCTTTTGACAAATGGTTCTGTTTGATTCTTGTTTGCCGACCTCTTCATGCACCTGTAGCTGGAAGCCAGCTCCGCCTGTAATTCCGTGTGAACGGGCTGGGCTGCTCAGTTCCCAGCTCAGCCCAGTTAGAACAGGAGGAAAAGGCCGGGCTGCGATGGAGCCTCCGGGCAGCCTGGGCCGCCTCCCCTCCCACGCCGGCCCGCTGGCGACTGGAGCGGGTTGGGAGCCCCTGCGGTTCCTCTGGCGGTGCCGGCCGCCAGGAGCTCAGGTGCGCTTCTCCCGGTCACCTGCTCCCTGTCCTCTCTCGGCAGTTTGTGCTGAAGCACCAGGCTCTCGCTCACCTCCGAGAAGTGGCGCTTTTCCCCAACACCCTGAACCCCCACGAGGCAGAGTCCCTGGCGCTGGTCGGAGCCATGATCGACCAGGTCATGGAGCTGCACCCGGGGGCCCGGTGGCTCCACATAGGCTGTGACGAGGTGGGTGCCTGCGCACGTCCCTGTCCCCCATTCTACGGCGCTCCCCATGTCTTCACGATCACCGCTCGCCTCGGGCCTCTTCTCAGACAGAAAAGTAGTCCGGGGCGAAGGACGTCCCTGGTGAAGGTGTTGGTGCTTTTTTGGGGGGCCTGCGAGCCGAGGGGCGCCCTGGCACCCAGGGTCAAATGGGGGAGGGCTGGGCCTGAAATGGCTGTGCTGCCAACACCCCAAAGGGGATTCATGCCCCCAGGGCTGGCAGTGGGTGCGAGTTAGAGCTGGTTACTTTTTCTGGCTGAAGAAATGCAGTTCTGGTTGGTGGGAGAAAGGAAGTCTTGCTTTGGGGCCATTGGCACTGGTGGGAAAAGGCGGTCCCTGGTGTCCCCTCAGCCTTTCTGCTTCACTGTTTCTCCAGAAAGTCAGACGGGCCCTGGAGGATCCTGAGTCAGCCTCCGAGCGTGGATCGTTCTTTGCACACATTTTTATTTTGTATTTTTTAATTTCTTTTTTTTCTTTATTGATATTTGAGAGAGAGAGAGAGAGAGAAAGTGAGAGGGAGAGAGAAACATCGATGAGAGAGAACACGGACTGGACGCCTCCTGCATGCCCCCCACTGGGGATCTGGCCCACAACCTGGGCATGTGCTCTGACCGGGAATCAAACCAGCTGCCTCCTGGTGCAGGGTCCACGCTCAACCACTGAGCCACACCGGCCGGACTAAAAACACATATGTGCAGCCTGGCCGTTGTGGCTCAGTAGTTGAACACTGACCCATGCACCAAGTGGTTGCCGGTTCGATTCCTGGTTAGGGTACATGCCCAGGTTGTGGGCCCAGTCCCCGGCGGGGGGCATGCAGGAGGCAGCCAGTTGATGTTTTCTCTCATCGATGTTTCTATCTCTTCCTCTACCTTCCTCTCTGTAAAATAAATAAAGGAAAAAAAAGTTTTTTAAATATGTTTTTATTGTTTTGTTAGAGAGAGAGGAAGGGAGAGGGAGAGGGATAGAAACATTGATGAGAAACATCAATTGGCCACCTCCTGCTCCCCCCCCCCCCCCCCGGGGACTGGGCCCACAACCTGGGCATGTGCCCTGACTGGGAATCAAACCGGTGACCTCTTGGTGCACAGTATGATGCTCAATCCACTGAGCCACATGGGCCCAGCACTTTGCACACATTTTAGCTCCAGAATTTGATCCTTTCCTTCCAAGGAAATCTTTTATTTTGGTAGTAAAATAGAACATAAAATTTACCATTGTAACCCTTTTAAAGCGTATGATTCGTTGACTTCTGAGTACACTTATGATGCTGTGGAACCATCACCACCATCTAATTCAGGACCTTTCTTCCCCTGAAAAGGAAACCCCATATCCCTCACCCAGCCAGTCCCACAGCCCCTGGCCACCCCTTCGTGTTTATGGACTTGCTGGTTCCAGACATTTCAGAAATGGAATGCCATCGTGTGTGGCCTTTGGTGCCCGGCTCTGTCAGTGAGCATGAACCGTGCTTCACCCCGTCTGTGGCTGAGTGACACCCCAGTGTGGAGGCCACATGGCGCTTGGCCTCCTGCTGGGCACCTGGGCCCCTTCCCTTCGGAGCTGCTGTGAAGGGGGCTCTTCAGTGGGAGTTTAGTCTCAGGGAATAAAGCAAGGTCACCCTTTGCCATCCCCTCCCCACAGGCTGCTGCCCCTGGGATGCTCTTTGGCCATGGCTTGAGCCCCTGGCCGCACCCAAGCGTGTCCGGAGGCAGACGTCCTGCCTTCCTTCTGTGCAGGTCTATTACCTTGGGGAGGGGGAGGCCTCGAGACAGTGGCTGCAGCAGGAGCAGAACACCAAAGCCAAACTGTGTCTGTCCCACGTGAGGGCGGTGGCCAGCCACGTGCTGGCCCGGCACCCCGCCACAGCGCCCATGGTGTGGGACGACATGCTGCGCGACATCCCCGAGGACCAGCTGTCAGGTGAGCCCGGGCGCCGTGGGAGGGCTTCTCGGTCTGAGAAGGTGCTGAGCTGCTGGGCCCCTGAGCCCGTCTGCTGAGGAGGGGACGCGTGGAAGTGCCGCGGAGCCTCGGTGTCCAGACAGTCCCGTCAGGCCCGTCTGAACCTCCCAACGGAAGTGTCACCCCTGGAAGGCATGTCAGAGCCTCGCAGGACGTGTGTGGTGCATCTGACCTGGGGGTGGCCGTGAGGCCATCGGGTGGGGGAGGGTGGGGGAAGGTGGGCCAAGGGAGAGTCCCCGCTTCTGGCCCGAGTCCATTGGAGGGACCCGGGCTAAGGGGATGAGACAGGAGGTTGGTGTGGTTACCCACAGCTCCACTGCGCGCATAGATGTCCACGCAAGGCCCAGGTGTCCTCGTGGCAGCCAGAACCCACGTGTGGACACTTGGGTTTTAACTAGCATTCCTTACAATTAAGTACAGTTGGCAGCCTGTTCCTGTTGCATCCAGGCCTGGTGCCCTGGCAGCTTGCAGACAGGGTCCGCCCTTGGGGAAGCTCTAGACCACTGGCTGGGTCGGAGCTCCCAGAGTCCAGTCCTTTCCCTGGCTGGCTGGCTTCCTGGCTGTGGCCTGAGAAACGGCACAGTGTGGAGTCTGTCCTCAGAAAGATGGCCTGTGTTCCATTTTTATGCAAGACGTGTGAGCGAAAGGCCCGTTCCAGCTGGCTCGGCACTCACAGCCTGTCTCTGTCCCCAGAGTCAGGGGTGCCGCAGCTGGTGGAGCCAGTGCTCTGGGACTACGGGGCCGACCTGGACGTCCATGGCAAGGGTCAGTACCTCGTTGCTCAGGGAGACCTTGACAGCCCAGCGGGGGGTGCAGGAGCCTCCGTCTCTCGGCTCATGGGAATCAGACTTGCCTCTGCCTTACTGGAGGCCCCTCCTGCAGGAACCGGTCCCATGAGCAGCCCTCAGCATGTGTCCTGTGGCCGGGCGCTCCTGGGTGGTCCGTCCTAATGAACAGGTGGCCTGGGGCCCCCTGGAAGCAGCGGGCATGAGATCCTGGGGTTTCCATCTGCACAGCATGGCATCGGGCATCGTGTTTCGGGGCTTGGTGGCACAGCCTCCTTGGGTCCCAGCCCAGTCACACCTCTTGCTTTCTGGCTCAGCCCTCCTCATGGAAAAGTACCGGAAGTGCGGTTTCCCCCGGCTATGGGCCGCCAGTGCCTTCAAGGGAGCCACCGGGCCAAGCCAGGCCCTGCCCCCCATCGAGCACCACCTTCAAAACAACATGCAGTGGCTGCAGGTGGCAGCCTGTGCGCCAGCAGACATGCTGCAGGGCATCATCCTGACCGGCTGGCAGAGGTGAGGTCGCCCAGTACCCATCCTGGAGGGGAAGCAGTTCCCAAAGTCCAGTCTGGGCCTCTGGCATTTCCCGTCCCAGGGAGGGTGGGCCTGGGCCTCACACCCATCAGCGCCCCCAAACTTCACAGGGTACTCTGGTGTGTCAGGGCCACGGAGCACACTGCCCCCTGACCCCCACGCCTGGTCGTCCGTGTGGGTGTCCATAGTCCACAGCCTCCATGAGGCCACATGCACAAGGCTCAGGCAAGTGGGAACCAGGACAGACTTTGGCTCTCCTACCACCTGGAAATCTGAGCTACAAATGGACCCCTGGCCACAGGTCCTACCCTCTGATTAGAGGGCCTGGGGAGAGGCCAACTAGCCCTGGGCACCAGGGACAGGGTGAGTGGCCCGAACCCAGGGGGGAGCTGGAGGCAGGGTGTTCGAGGGGAGCTCCACCCTTGCTCACAAAGCAAGTCAAAGCGGAACTCATTAAGGATTTCAGGGTGGCAGCCACAGAGCTTGAGCCCAGGCAGGGCCGTGTGGGTGGGTCCACACACCCAGGATGCTGAGGACTTTTCCAGAGGCAGCAGCCAGCTCTGCAGAAGCTTCTAGGCGCCTGTCCTGTGGCACAGGGAACAGTGTGCCAGCATCTGCTGCCAGGGCGGCAGGAGCTCAGCACCCGTCTCCCATGGCCTCAGGTACGATCACTTCTCCGTGCTGTGTGAGCTGCTGCCTGTGGGGATACCGTCCCTGGCCGTCTGTCTGCAGTCACTGCTACACGGTAAGTGCCTTGCTGTCCCCGGGAGGCCGGGGTCTGGACGGTGGTCTCCAGCTCAGGGACAACGGGCCTCTCCTGGCTCAGCCACCACCAGCCCAGGTCTTCAAGCTTAAACCCAAGACAGGCCAGAGTTAGGGGAACGTGCCCCCCAGACACACAGAACCATAGAAAGAAATCCATGAGTCATCGGGTGCTGAGAGAGCTGCCTTTGCTGCAGCAGCACCCGGGGTGCTGGGGGGTTGGGGAGTGGGTGCTGCATCCGGCATGCCCACCTCCAGTTCACCGTGAGGAGCTGCCGGTCCACAGTGAACTGGTCACGGAGTCAAGTGCACTTGGACCGTGACACGGTGGAGGAACTGTAAACAAGGACATGTGCTGTTGGTGCAGAGACATGTCGGGGTACTGGGGAAGGCGGGGCCCCAATGGCGAATAGCCGTCCAGAGAGGCCTGTGCTGTGCCCGCGAGATGGAAGGACAGGCCCTGGGCCCTGTGTTCCTCCCAGCACTCCTCCAGACCGCGGACACGCAGGGGCGGGGACAGACAGCACGTGTGGTGCTGGCTGAGCCCCCCTCGCAGCTGTCACCCACACTGACTGGGAGGTCTACGTATTGGCACCCCCAGGCCTCGCTGGTTCATTTCCCTTGTTGCCGGAGCCCGGGATGGTAGTGGCGGGAGGCTGGAAGGCTGAGGGTGCCCCTGTGCACTGGGTCAGTGGTCTCCCGGCCGTGGCCCTGCCAGCAACATGGGTCTTAGTTCTTTAATTGTTTTTTTAATCCTCACCCAAAGATATTTTTCTGTTTATCTCTAGATAGAGTGGGAAGGAAGGGGGTAGAGAGAGAAAGAAACATCTAAGTGAGAGAGACACATCAATTGGTTGCCTCCCGCATGACCCCAACCAGGGCTGGGGACCGAACTGCAACTGAGGTACATGCCCTTGACCGGAATTGAACCGTGACTCTGGCCCACAGGCTGATGTTCTAACCAATGAGCCAAACCAGCCAGGGCTTTCTTTTTTTTTTTTTAAATCCTTACCTAAGGACATTTTTTCATTTTCTGTTCAGAGTGGGAGGGAGAGAGAGGAAGAGACAGAGAGAGAAACATCGACATGAAAGGGACTCATCAAGTGGCTGCCACCTGCACAACCCAACCAGGGCCGGGGACAAACTGCGACATACGTGCCCTTAGCGGGAACTGAACCCGGGTCTCTCTGGACCGCAGGCTGACGCTCTCACCGCTGAGCCAAACCGGTCAGGGCAGGGTTTTCATTTTTAACATAACAGATACATGTTCACACGTTCAAGAGAAGCAGCAGCAGGTATCCTTGATAATGGTACACATCTGGCTGGCCTGGCCAGTAGCCCTCCTGGGTCACTGCCCACCACCCACTGCCAAGAGCCATGGTCTGGGTAGTGCAGCCAGTACAGGGTCCAGGCCTTCCCGCTCCTCCAGAGGCCCCTCTGACCGCCCCCCCACCCCATTTCTGGTTGGTTGCAGGGGGTTTTGCTGAAGACTTTAGGGCAAGAGTGGAGAAACTTCTTGGGATCTCGAGCCTGGAAATCACCGGTGTTACGAGGTGACCACCCACCCCCAGCTCTGCCCCTCCCCTCACGGTCGGCCCCATCTCAGCACCCGGGTTCTCTGTGCAGTGAGGGGGCCGCCTCCTTCCCTGGCAGTGACATCCTGGCCCTCGTCACACAAGTCAGCCTCCACCTGCGCAGCTCTGTGGACGAGATGCTGCAGAGGGACAGGTGAGTGGGGCGCAGGCGAGTGGGTGGGCGAGCGAGCCCCCCACACCCAGGTGAGGCCTGGGCATCGTGCAGGGGAAATCTTTTTAAAATTCTACCAGATTCTTAGGTGTTATTTAGAAACCACCCTGCGGCTGCCTCGCCCCCCTCAGGGCCACCTGTGTGGACTCGTCCGCAGGTGTGTGACGGGCTGGTTCAGCCCGTATCATCGCAGGCGGAAGTTCATCCATCCAGTCATGGTCCAGCACATCCAGCCCCAGGCGCACAGGTAGCCCACCCCCCGCAGTGCCCGCCCCCGGGGCTGCACCCCCTCCGCCACCTGGGGGCGCTGTGGCCATCAGCTGTGCACTCCCAGGTGACTCAGCCTCGCTGAATGGCTGTGCCCCTGACCATTAGAGAAGCCCAGGTGTTCCTAGCCTAAGAGGGGGAGGGTGACCAGGATGACCTGGGCAGGGTCCAGGCTCCCTGTGGAGCCGACCACTTGGGGCTACTCCCAGCCCACCACTGCCACGAGCCCACGAGCCCTGACACCGGGAGCCAGCCATCCCCAGCTCTCCTGGCTCAGGCTCTGAGCTGGGCCAGTGCAGCCTGTCCCCACGACAACAGGTGCAGGTGCCGAGAAAAACCCTGCCAGCCAGTCGAATCACACATCCCAGGTTCAGATGTTAGAATGTGACAGTTGGTCACTGATCCCCAACACCACCAAGTGCCCTGTTTTATGGGTGGGTAAACAGGCACAGAACTGTACTGACGCACGGAGTGCTCACAGCTGTCTGGGCCTCAGTCTGCTGGCCAGGTGGCGTGCCCTTGTGCAGGAGCTGGAGGCCGCCCTGCTCCGTGTCTTCCACGAGGACGCCGTGGAGGAGTGGCTGGAGGAGAACGTGGACCCTGGCTTAGGGCAGCTGCAGGCGCTGCTGCAGGACCTGGACGGAGCCACTGGTTCCCAGCCCCCACAGGCTAGCCCTGGCCCTGACACAGGTCAGGACCCCTGAGCGGAGGGGCCCCTCACCCTGTCCAGCTGTGTCTGGCCCGACACATCTCTGAGCCCTGCAAGCAGGGAGTGCCCGGTGCAAAGGTGGCTGTCGCCGGGGGAGCACAGCAGGAAACGTGGGTGGAAGTGCTCGTGGGGACGTGCTCGTGGGGACCTGCTCGTGATCTGCGTGCAGGACTTTCTTGTGAAATAAAAAGGAAACGGAAGCTAGAAGTCATGCCGATTGGACTGTGGCAGCGTCACCACCAGGCTGCAGTGAGGTCTTAAGAGGCCCCAGCAAAGGGTCCAAACCCACCCACCCCACCCCCTCCTCAGGGAGCAATCTCAGCTCTCCAGAACATACCAGAAGCAAGCCAATTACAGAAATTCACACCTTTTTAGGAAAAAAGCAGTTTGGATTTAATTGAAAACCCACCTTCAGCAGGTTTAAGGGACCATGTTCCTAGACTACAGGCTGGTTGGCAGCCACTGCCAAGAAGGGAGAGGATCCCTAGAAACTGCAGTACTTAGTGTCCCCCAGGCAGCCTCAGCCCCAGTCTGGGCCGGTGCGCCCTGATCAGGTTCCTCAGTGCCCAGTCTGTGGTGCAGCCCGCTGCCACGCACAAATGGGCCCGACTGACAGGGTCTTCCCAGGGCTCAAGAGAAGCTGGAATCTGGTGTCTAAGGGCGAGGTCCTGGCTTTAAACACTGCTCAAAGCTGGTACAGATGCCTCTTCTTGCCAGTGGCCTTTGCCTAGGCTGGGGGTACGTAACAGAAGGGTGTCCTCATGACAGCCCAGCACGGTCCTGGCTGGATCCAAGGAAAGCCACTGTGGTGGAGCGCACTCTGTGCACTGGGGAGGCCTTGGGGGGGGGGGGGCTGCAGCAGTGGGATGGGCCCAGCAGTCGGATGGGCCACAGGCAGGCACCTCACTCCTGACTGCTGAGGACGCCTGGCCAGGAGAAGGATGCTTCATGGGGGCTGGATGGTAAGGGGACACGGATTCCTGGGGACGACATGCTGGCCTGCTAAAGCCTCGTCGTCACCCTCCAACTACATTCCTGTGTGGTCCGTGCTGGCCAACCTCCCTCCCCACCAAGTGCTCAGTCTCCGTGTGGGAACACCAGCCCCAGCTGCACCCTGGGGAGCCTGGGCTTCCTTCCCCTTTCGGAGGCTGGAGCCCCACACAGCTGGGGGCTGTGGGGTGGCCATGCCACCCATCACACTCACACCCCACACTGTCCAGGCCGGGGCATATGGTTCCAGGAGGCAGATCCGAGGCCCATGCCCCCCCTGGACCTTGGAGCCTGCAGATGGTCCAGCTGTGGTTCTGCTCGAAGGGCAGCGGCAGGAGTGGTCAAGGGTCCTGCCCGTGGGCTGCAGGGACACAGCTTGGTGGTGGGACTGGCTGGTGGCCCATCAGGCCTGCTGGGGCACCATCAGCACCAAGGCTGGGGGCTCTGTGGGGTGGGGTCAGCTCTGGCTTCCGAGGCTGTCAGCCTCACTGTCGCTGCTCTGAGACAGCTCCACGGGGCTCTCCGGACAGTGCAGCTCCAGGAAGGCGGTGATGAGCTTGGCAATGGCTTCCACATCACTGGGCCGGCCGGCACCGGAAGGAAGGGCAGGTTACTGTGGTAGAGGTGCAGCCAGAAAGACCACACCAGCTCTCCTGGACCATGCCCTTCCCACACCCCCCGGGCTCCCCTTCAGGTCCCAGCAACTCCTGCCCTGGTCCCCAGCCCTCTGCCCATATGGGGACCCCCAGGATTCCCTAGCAGTTGTGGCAGGCCTGTCCCCCAGCCTTTCCCATGGTCCTCTTGTCCTGTGCCGTGCCATGCTAGACAGACTGCTGTGAGATCCACCTGATGGGGTGAGGGGCACAGGCGGGCAGCCCTGGCTTACCTGTGGTGGCCCATGACAGCACTCTGGGTGAGGGGGTGCGAGAAGCCTGTTGAAAAGCGCAGCACCACCACGTAGCCCCTCCCGAAGTACCGCACCTTCTCCTCCTCCACGTTCACGTCCTGGATGTCGCTCAGCAGGACCACCACTGCATGGGGAGGGGAGGGGCGGGGCGGGTCACTCCAGGGCCGCTTCTCATGAAGCAGAAAGCGCTGGTCACCGTCTGAGGCTGAACCCCAGGAGACAGCCGAGGCCTGGACCCTGACAGGTCAGTGACCCCAGTGCAGGGTCCTGCAGCAGTCTGGGTGGGAAAGAATGTCTGGTGGACCGTCATGGCCTGAAAGGCCTGCCTGTCCATCCTCTCGTGGCCACTCTGCGGTAGCGGAGCAGCTGAGCATGGTGCTGCCCGTCTTTCTGCTTCATCCCCTCAACTGCTGAAAATGCCCTCCTAGTCCCTAGTGGCCAAAGAGCTGGGGCTGCCGGCAATATCCGCCAGGCCAGGACATGACTAGGGGCGACCCATGTCCATCTGAGAGGCGGGACACGACCCTGATCACTGAGCAGCCAGGCTAGACCCGCCTGTTTCCAGGCCACAGGCCCGGCCCAGAGTAACCCTGTGTCCTGCTCATTCCCGATGCCTCACCTTGGTCGTGGCCTGCTCTGAACAGAGTCAGAAGCTTCTTGTATAAGCTGAATGTCTTCAGCACGACCTTCCCAGTGCTCTTGTCGAAGACGGCTTCCTGAAAAACCGGCCACAGGGTGGTCCCCAAGGTGCAGGTCTCTGTGCAGGAGCCAACCCCACCCTAACCTCCAGGGAGGGGCCTGGGCTCACCAACTGTGACCCACCCTCGCCAGAGCAGACCCTCTTCTTTCCCTTCCCAGTCAGAACCCCAAAGTTGGTGCCCCAAATGCTGCTCCTCCGAAGCCAAACACCCGCAGCCTGACCCACGAACTCCTGACAGGCGTGTGGGTGCAAGGGGCTGGAACATCGAGGTAGGTGCTCCCTCCTCTTTGCAAGCAAAAGACAACTAGAGTGGCCAAAGTCATCCAAGGAGGGCACGGGGTCAGAGGTCAGGGAGCAGCACAGGGCCAGGTAGCTCAGAGGTTCCTGAGAGGCAGGGTGGCCACCAAGGGAGTGGACTCGCCCCCCGTTTCATTCTGTGGTATGGCAATGCTTGGGAGGAAAGACTTTGGGTAAAAACAGTCATAAAAAGCTCCTGGGAAAAAAATGGCTTCTGAGGATTCCTGGGCCCATAGCAGGGACAGGTTACACCCAGAGGCTGAGCTCAGGCACCCAGAAACCACTGCGTCGAAGTCCCAGGGTGGGCATCAAGCCCGGGGCCCCCCTTCCTGTTGTGGGCCCCCCTGCAGGGAGCCGGAGCCGGAGCCGGCCTTACCTCCCAGTCCTCCAGGTTCTGCACAGCCACAAACAGGCAGCCAGTGACATAGAAGAGCTTCCAGCCCAGACTATCTGGGGACAAACACAGGATGCAGCCAGTTGAATGCAGAAGCTGAGGGTGAAGGCTGACGTGCCCACAGGGGTCCCCCTCCTCAGTGCGGCCACATTCCCAGATACTGGGCAGGAGTGGCATCTGGGGACCCTTCCTGTCACTCAGGACCATGTGGGACACACTATACTAGCTCTGCCCTCACTAGCTCTGTCCACTGGAGGCAGGCAGTGGGGTCTCTGCCGATCACAGCATGGTTTGTGATAGGGGAAAGGTGGGAAGGCTTCCAAGGAGCGGAAAGTATGGTTTACCCTGAAAAAGAACCTTAATACAGGAGAGCACCTTCTTGAAGAATATTTTTTGACACAAGAAAATGCCAAAGATGTAAGTGAGAAGTGCATGCTTCAAAAGACCTGGGTACAAGGGAGAATACACCAGCACACAGAGGTGGGGCTGTGCCCATGAACCATGAGGAGGCACAGAGGTAGGCAGTGTTGCCCAAGGCCATGCCTTCATTGATCAGAATGATGGGCTTGCCTTCTTTTCTCTTTTCCAAAGAGCTAAGGAAGTTACTGGGGGCAGACACTGCACCTCACCTCCACTGTAGTAGGCAGCAGCCAGGCCGATTGACAAGATTCCTGCAAAAAGAAAGCAGGCACCTTACTGTTGGGCCACCACCAGCCCAGAGCCCACCTCCTTCCTGTTGCCAGCAACGGCTGCAAGCAGGAAGCTGGAGAGAGAACACCAGGCTCAGGAGCAGGGGAAGTTTGTTCAGAAACATGGTGTGTGTCATTCACAGTATGCACCTGACATATCCGTCTCCGTGAGGATCCACAGCTGACTGGGGAACCAGATGGAGGAACCTGACGTGGGTTTTACACCAACAGTGTATGGTGTGGAATGAAGACAAGACTGTACGTAAAGAATCACAATACAACACACAAGGGGAAACGGGGTCATGGGAAAGAAGGGCCAGAGACACGCTGCTGAAGGCACAGCGGCACCTCCTCACACCTGCGATCCAGTCCACAGGGGGCAGCTTCCTGGTGGGTGCAGGACCCTCCGATTGGCAGTGACAGGGACGGAGGTCAAGGCAGCCTCCCCCACTCAGAGGAAAAATGGAACACACTGTCACCCGTCACGTGGGCCTACGACGTAAATCAGACACCTGCAACCAGGTGTACAAAAGCAGGTAAAAGGGGTAACGTGAGACCTCAGAAAAGCATGCCATCTTAGCTAAAGGATGTTAAGGTGAAAAGGACAAGACAGACACACATCGTGGACAAAGGATAAAATCCGGGAGAATACAACAAAATAGCTGCTGTATTTTAGGGAGAAACAAAGGAGGAAAAACTTGGTTCATTTTCATCCTTTTTTTAAAGTTGAAGTTTTTATTTGGGCGGAAATATGAAAATCCTTACCAACCAGCAGGGACCAGGACCTGATGCCCGGAGCCCTCTTCAGATGTAGGTAGGAGCTGGTGCGGGTCTCCACCTGCATGTACATCCCTGGACCGTGTGGACACCACTCTAAACAGGAGACCCGGCTGGGAAGGACAGACACACGGATAGCTGGAGCCCAGCAGCCACTGCCCAGACAGAGCCCACCTCTCCAGGGCAGAGGCCTGGGCTGGCCCACCAGCAAGGCCTGTACAGGCTGGGGAACCAGTTGGCCTCCGCTGACCGCTGTCTCTGTGATCACACAAGTCACTTGACTCCCCCAGGGACCCATTTCCTCTGTAAGTGAGGCCCTTCTCTGCTCAGTTATACTGACCGCCCAGTGGCCTTCAAGCTTCTGGGACCCTACCAGAACCCAGCAGAACGCCCCCATTTCCCGGTGCCAGTCCCGCCGAAAAACGGAACTGCACGTCTGATCGCGGCCTGAGTCTGCGCTGGCCCGGGGCTCAGCAGCAGCCCTGGGCTGGGCTGCAGGAGGGGGTCCCGAGAGGGCTGCCCTGCCTCTCACGGAGAAGCCCCTGCAGACCGACGCGCAGGACGCTGGGCGGGGACTGCGCTCTGGGAGCTCCCGGGGCTCCCCGCCGAGCGGCGCAAACCCCGACCGCAGGGGTGCAGTTCGCACGCGGAAGCTGCCGCTGGACTCATCCCTGGGCTCCCTCCCTGACCTGCCCGCGCAGCGAGGCCACCGGCCGGGCGAGGGGCGCAGCCCACGGCCTGACCCCGGCAGCCCCGGGTCGAGTCCCGAGCCCGCGCCACCCCGACGGCGCCTACCGAGCACGCGGACCGGCGACGGCGCCTGCAGCCTGGGCGCGGCGCGCGGCTGACTTCCGGGCTGGGGGCGGGGCCGCGCTGACTTCCGGTCCGCGAGGCGGGGCGAGGCTGACTTCCGGGACTGGAGTTGGACCCCGCGGGTCCTAGACGTGAGAGGGCGGTGCGCCCCCGCCCCCACGGCTGGACGCGTGCGCAGTGAGTGGGAGCCACGGCCGTGACCGCCGACGTCCGCCCCGCCCACTTACCACGGGGGACCGCGAGAGGGCCCCGCGAGAGCGCTGAGTCCTGGCGGCGCACGCAGAGCGGCCCCGGCCCGGCCCGAGAGCCGTCGTTGTACCTCGAAAAGGCCTTTAAAACGACGAGGGAAACGTGAAGTCCCTAAAGTTAGCCCAAGAACAGGGGCATACGGATTCATGGGGCCATTGTAGACACGCGCCTTTCCGGCCAGATGGAGGGACCGGCCCTCCCCGGGCCGCGCGGCCGTGGCCACTGCAGTGTCTCCCGGACGCTGGAAGAACGCACGAGAGCTTGTCTTGCTGCTTCCTTTTTCTTGGTCTCCAGGTCGGAGTTCTCTGCTGTACACAGGTGAGTACCGCAGCACGTAATGTCGCCTAGGAGAAACACACACACACAAGCCTCGACGTTTCACCAAGATACGCACGACATGGACATTCTGGAGACCGCATGTCTTACCAGTCGGCCCAGGTCCCCAAATCGAGCGTGCGTCGGAATCCCTTGGTGAGCTTGTTGAAACACTGCTGGATCCTGTCCCCAGGAGTGAGTGGGGCCCGAACATGCACGTGTTGCAATGCTTCTGGTCCAGTAACCACACCTTGAGAACCTCTCCTCTAAGCTGCAGCCAAACTGGGCTCTGCCTGAACAGGTAGGTTCCCTGACCTGACGCTCGCCTCAGCTCACATTCTGTCTTCTTGAAATGGCCCTCCCTCTGTTAAGATCCTGCACCCTCTCCAAGGCCCCTTTGACTCGTTCGCACCCCCTTTAGACCATTCCTCCTGTGAATTAGGTAAAACTGAGTTGACACCCTGACAAATTCCACTTTGCATAGTTATCTGCATAGCTCCATCTTTCCTGCTAGATTACAAACCATTTAAAGATGAAGCCCGTTCTGGTATTCTACAAATATTAAATAAGTAAACAAATGGTATCAAATTTGGTTAAAATCTTGCTGAATATTGGTAACAGCAAAAGACTGAAAATAAATACATTATCCATAAGGAGGGGACTGAATGAATAAAATCTGTACATTGTGCCAATCATCAATGCATTACACCTCAGCTCTAAATTCAAACTTCATTGCCTGCTTCGTGAAAAGGCATCTGAGCCCCCTGTTTTTGTGCTGTCAGGTATGATGTTGCGCTTTGTCAGTAGAGGGTGCTGGAGAGACACTGCAGGAGGAAGACCTTTTCAATTCCTGGTTCCGCTTGGGCTGTGCTGGATCTGCAGGCTGCTTCAGCTCACAGGACTTCTCCAGAATCCAGCTCTCACACTGCATGTTGGCCTGCAGCCCCCAGTGTCCCCCAGCGTCCCCTGGCAACCCCTTAGGTGGTTTTCTGCAAAGTGCCTCCAGCAAGACACCTTCTGTGGAAGAGTTTTCCCAGCACAAGGAGGATTTCCAGGAAGTTCCAGTGCAGTGCCAAGTGGCCTCTCTGCCATCCAGTGAGCCACAGCTAGTCCTCTCCCTGGGGGTAGAGTGGGCTCCTCATTGGGGCTCCTTCATCGCCTGGGGGTTTTTGCCTTGTTTCTTGCCGTTCTTAAATTCTTTATAGTCCAGTTGTTGGCCTCCTTGCTCCAATCCCCAGTTAGTTAATAATTCATTATATTAAACTACCTCTGTTCAAAGTACTGTGTGGTTTCTCTCTCCCGATTGGGCCCTGTCAAATACATCTGTCCACACAATGTAGTGTATGCATCTGTGAAGAAGGAATGAGGAATATATGTATTTACTATGGAGTGCTCTCCAGAATATATAGTATTGCTGAATGGAAAAAGAAAGATGGAGAAAAGTATATAAATATACTATAGTTAAAAGAGAGGTTACAGCCCTGGCCGGTTTTGCTCAGTGGTTAGAGCGTCGGCCTGCGAACTGGAGAGATCGGGTTCGGTTCCTGCTAGGGGCGCATGCCTCAGTTGCAGTTTGTCCCCGGTTAGGGTCGTGTGAGTGGCAACCACTCAATGTGTCTCTCTCACATTGATATTTCTCTCTTCTCTCTCCCTCCCTATCTCCCTCCTGTTCTATCTGAAGATGAATGCAAAAATGTCTTCTGGTGAGGATTAAAAAAGGGGGGGGGCTACAAGATGCAAATATTGAAATATATATATGGCAACACATAAAATGTGGTATTTTGGTTATGGGTAGTAGAGTTAGTACTGTTAGTCTGATACTTATTATGTGTGTAATGCGAAACAATGTAAATTATTATTTTATGTAGGTGCCACTGGGAACCAGGTCTTTTGGCATGAAAGGAAGGAGTCACAGATGGAAGACCAATGAGGTTAATAAATTAGAACCCCGTATTCCTGGATTTGAATTAGAAGGACCAGTGTGGATTTTTTCTTTTAAAAGTACATTTTTTCCTAATACTGTCCACTGAAAAGTCCTAGAAACAATGACCAATTCAGTACCGATGAGCAATTCTGGTACCCATTTTGTGGTTTTAAAATACCAATTCCTACTAAGGAACCAGGCTTCTTGTGGAAAAGGCTGATTGCAGCAAGAAATGAACAAGGAAATATAGGGTATCCCAAAGAATGTATACACACTTTGAATAATTACAAAGCCATTTAATTGTTTTGTCGACACCTGTTTTCACACTGATGTCTGTCCCGGTCCACGCAATGGAATCACAAACATCGAGAAACATTTCATTTGGTCTTTGAGTGCATTATTGTTCAATGGCTACTCTCAATTCAGTGACTGTTACTAGTTTTGAAGCATAGACTCTATCCTGTAAATATCCCCAGGAAAAAACATCTGGAGGTGTGAGGTCTGGTGAACAGGAGGGTATTCTACAAAACCCCTTCGTCCAGCCCACCTATTTGGCAAAATCTCAAGGTAGGATCTTACATCATGATGGTAGGAGTCCTGTCAAGTCCCACGTGGGAGTGCAGAGCTTGGGCCACTGGAGAGAAGGAAGTATAGGGACTTGGGTCACCGAATCAGGCAAAGGTAGAGAGATTCCAAAATGGCAGAGTGAATGGAAGCTACACAGACCATCTCCCAGGACCAAACTGGAATTACAACTAAAATAAAGACAAATCTTTGGGGAAAAGCAACAGAAAAGCAGCTGGAAAGGATCCATATAACCAGGGACAGGAAAAAAAGACATTGAATCGAGCCTGGTAGGTCTGCAGAGGCGTGAGAGGGCAGGCTGGGAGTCCACAGACAGCATCTGTCTTAGCTGTGAGCAGCTCTTTCGGGTTAAAATCCCAAGCTGGCTCCACAGCACAGAGGGCCGGGACAGAGCACTAAATTAGCTACAGCCACTCATCTTGGGCTCTGGGAGAGGGACAGTGGACTGGACTGGAACTGTGTGGGGACACTCAGGATTTGGAGGGCGCTGAAAGTTTTTGCTGAGTCACACCCTCACAGGACAGGGGCCATCTTGCTCAGGGAACCTCTTCCCCAAACCCTGGGGAGAAACAGCAGCCCCTCCCTCAGAGATTTAACCCAACCCAGCTGGGCCAGAGAAATGCAAATTGAGGCTCATTAACAACCAGCATCTGCCCCACACTCTGGAAATCCTCTTAGGCTGAACACCTGTGGGAGTTTTTCATTCCGTTGAGGATTACAACCTAAGGCTCATCAAATAACTGAGACTAATAGCTTCCAGACAAAAAGCTTGAGGATAACAACCTTTCCTGGGCTTGCAAATCTATCCAGGAAAATAAGACTTGACAGTGGTGTTTAACGGTCCTCCCACACTCATCCAAACCCAGTAGAGGGAGCCACAATCAGCAGAACACCAACACCCACAGGGAAAATTTGGCAGGCAGAGTTCAGAGCCATGATCTTGAGGAAGTTCAACATCATGAGTAAGGAGCTCAGCACCACAAGTAAAGATACACAATGGAAGGAATAACCAGCAGAGTAGAGGAAGCTGAGGACCAGATCAGTGAATTAGAAGACAGGGTAGAAAAAAGTCAACCAATCAGAAAACCAAAAGGAAAAAAACAATTAAAAAACAGGAAGGCAGCTTAAGAGAACTGTGGGACAAACTGGAAATGTAACAATACTCGCTTTCGCTTTAGGAGTTCCAGAAGAAGAAGAAAATGAGTAAGGGTTAGAGAATATATTTGAAGAAATAGTGACAGATAAAACCTCCCTAACTTGTTGAAGGAAGAAGGCATTCAAGTTCAAGAAGCACTGAGAGCCCCAAGTAAGAAGAACCCAAACAGGCCCACACCACGACACATAATAATTAAAATGCCAGAAATTAAAGACAAAGAGAGAATCCTAAAGGCAGCTAGAGATAAGCAACAGGTTACCTACAAAGGAACCCCCCCCCCCCCCATAGACTATCATCTGACTTCTCAACAGAAACACTACAGGCCAGAAGGGAACGGCATGAAGTAATCAAGGTGTCCCACATGGCTATCATTCAAAATAGAAGGAGAAAGCCCTGGGATTAGGGAGATCCGGGTTTGGTTCCTGCTGAGGGCACGTACCTCGGTTGCAGTTTGTCCCCAACCCTGGTTGGTGGTGCAGGTGGCGGCCACTCGATGTGTCCCTTTCACGTTGATGTTTCTCACTTTCTCTTTGTTCACTTCTCTCTCCCTCCCACTCTATCTGAACAAAAAATGGGAAAATGTCCTCGGGTGAAGATAAAAAAAAAAGAAACAACCAACCCTAACAAGTGGAACTCTCTGAGCCTCAAATTATTTCAAAACAAAAAGTCTTTTTTTAAAAAGAGAGACTTAAACACACAAACCAATTGTAATACAGACAATTAGAACATACTGGACCTTATTTAGATCCTGATGTAAACTAAGAGAGAGAGAGAGAGAGAGAGAGAGAGAGAGAGAGAGAGAATGGGGGAAATGATAAAACAGTACCAAAAATATATACAAACAACTACCTAAAATTATCCTTACTCATGCAGAAAATTGGTGTTTTCTGAGAAGTGCCAACAGGGATTTGCAGGACGTTAATCTGGCAGCCAGGTAAGACCTAAATTAAACTGATGCACTTGTAAAAAGCTGTAGGAACCAAAAATTCTATAAATAAGAAAATTTAATGGGGGAAAATTTCAAGATCCTAGTGAGGTTTCTAGGCCCTGGAGTAGCCTTAAATATTTTCTTGACCTTGGTGATGTCAACGTTCTGGGACTTCTGAGGACTGCGAGGACTGCTGCTTTGATAAAGACAAAGACACCCACAAGTTGCTTTTCGTACTCGCCCCTGAATTCATCAGGCACGTTCTCATTTCTGACCATCCTGTATGAGCATGCACGGATTCTCTAAATCGTTTATTTTTAACACAGTTGGACAGTTCCGTTTAGCCCTACATGTGGTACCATTTCTTGGGAAGCGATATTCTTTGCAACTGTACGGGCAGAGTCACCCGCACTAACGGTAAGACGCAGCAGGCTCCCGCCGGCTCGCCGCAGCGCCCGCTTCACACGTTCCTCGCGCTCCCACGGACCACGTGCGTCCGGGTCCCGCCGCGCGTGCGCACTTCCGCCTCGCCAGTTCTACGTGCCGCGTCTCGGGGCGGCAATGGCGGCGGGCCGGGGCCGCGCTTCCGCCCCTCCCCACCAGGGCGGCCCCGTCTCGGCCGGGCCCGCGCCGGATAGGTGGCGCGCGTCTGACGCCAAGCCGACAGTCCTTTGCGCCCCGGAACGAGGCCAATCTCTGCCCCTCCGGTCGGGCCGCCGCTCGCTCTGCGCCTCCGCGACGTCCGAGTGGAACGGGTCGCGCTCCGCCCCGCGCGCTCCGATTGGCTGCGGGGCCCGTCCCACCCCCTGTTCGGTGTTCTCATTGGTCGAGCGGAGCCGAGGGGTGGGGCCGCGCCGGAGGCGACGACAACAAAGGGCGGCGGGCGGCCGGCGGCGGTGACCGAGTCTCCCGGTGCTTCCCTCAGGTCACGCGCGCCGGCCCCCGCCTGCCCTACTCCAGATGAAGTGTGAGCACTGCACGCGGAAGGTGGGCCCCTCGCGTCGGTGTGGCCGGGGGTCGGGATGTGGGGCCGCGGGGTCGCGGTCGGGGTCAGGGGTCTGGGTTGCTCGCTGCCGGGCTCCGGGAGCCCCTGTCCGCAGCGCGGCCCGTGGTGAGCGTGGGAAGGACGCCGCGGTGCTGAGTCCGCGGCCGCGGGGCCCGGCGTCACCTCGCTGCCTCGGGAAGCCCGAGGTCGGACGTGGTGCGCGGCTGATAGAACCGGTCTGCCTTGGGTTGGACGGACTTCGACCGGGACGTGAGCGCGAACCCTGCGCCGGCCCGGGTGGTGCCGCCGAGTTAGCTGGGCTGCAGCTTCGTGCGCCGAGCCAGCCTTTCAAATGTCTCTGAAGCCAAAAACCCCAGAAAAGCAGACCAACCTGTTACCTCCCCGGGCACCGGCGCAAATCCCATTCTGAATGAGAACAATTGATACAGTGTTTTTCGGGTTTTTAAAAACTTTCCAAAAACGTCAGCGCTTGTAGTAACAAAAAATACAGAAGTGTGGCCCTCCTCGCCACCTGTGTAACCATGGTAACTTGATAGCCTTCCACTCCTGTTTCTGGGCCGTGATAGCATAAATAACCACACAGTGCAGGCAGGGGTTTTTTTTCTTCTTCCTAAGAATTGAATCACATCATAAATGTTATTCCATCAGTCCCCCGCCCTTTTTTTAAACCTAGCATTATGCAGGAAATTGCTTTTCAGAGCATTACATGTACTTCTAGTTCCTTGTGTTCTAAGTACAACTGTGTCCAGGTAGTTGGGCACTAATTTACCTGTTGATGGAGGACACATCGCTTCCCGGTTTCCACTAATTCAACAATACAGTGGTGGTGGGTGTGTGTGTCCACAGGTACATGTGCTTTTATTTACCTAGAAAAGATTTCTAGTCATGAGGTTAATTGACCAGACAGTACACTTTTTTTAAAGCGAGTCAGAATAAAAATTCTTCCATATGTTTCTTTGCTTTTTCAAGGAATGTAGTAAGAAAACAAAAACCGATGACCAAGAGAATGCATCTGTCGAGGTACCGAGTCCAGCCCAGGAGAATGGAGAGGCAAGTAGATTTTTCCATTTCGATACAGCCTGGAGGAAACAGTAGCTGCTGGTTTTCTCCTCTTTGGGGCTCATGTCCCCGTGTACATCATTGCTCTAAGGAAAAAAGAAGTGAGAAATAAATGGGCCAAAGTGGTGCCCCTGCCAGGGGCCAGACATGCGGGCCAGTCAGTAGGAGACGCACGGCCTTCCAGATAAGAGGGTTGGAGAGCGCGTCATCTTGGAATAGAGCAAAACAGACTGCCTTGGGAGCAAAGGAAAATGTCGTCCTTGGTCATCTACCAGAGATAGTGGTGTGATGTTTAAACCTCCAGTTCTTTGTTATTTATTTACTTATGGTAATGTGTTTTATTGATTTTTTTTTTTAGAGTGAGAGGAAGGGAGAGATAGAAACATTGATGAGAGCAAGCCATCCATTGGCTGCCTCCTGCACGCCCCCGACCTGGGATCGAGCCCGAACCCCAGGCATGTGCCCTGACCAGGAATTGAACTGGGACCTGTCAGTCTTTGGGACAATGCTCAATCCACTGAGCCACACCAGCTGGGACTCCAATTCTTTTTTTTTTTTTTTTTTGGCATGTGTCCCTAGCAGGAACCAAACCCGGGACTCTCTGGTCCACAGGCCAATGCTCCAACTGCTGAGCCAAACTGGCCAGGGCTCTTTTTTTTTCAGTCAGAAGTTCCATTTTGTAAAATGGGGTTTAGGTGGGTAATTTGTACAAATGGTTCAATTTTCACAGTTCTGTAAGTGCACTTTTGTGGTGGTTCCTTTGACAACTCAGTTGTGGAGGTTTGAAACCTACCTTAGCTACTAGTGGTGGTTATTGGGCACATAAGCCCAGCTGGACGCTAGAGGAAGTGTTTTGCACCAGCGATCTCATTTTGTGCTCAGAACCAGCATTTCCAGTTAGCTCCACTGCTGTCCCCACTGTGCAGAGGAAAGGGTGCAGTGGGGGAGGTTAAGGTCACTTCTTCCTTTAGAAAGTACTGGCACCAGTTTTGCAAATGGGAGTTGGCAACACTAGAGAAGCAAGTACAGGATTTCTCAGTGGTTTAGTGGGCCTGATAGCACATTAGTCTGACAGGCGTTGATCTGGTCCCTCCTGCCCCAGCACTGCTCTGCGCTCTGGGAGTGTAGGCCTTAGTGAGCAGAGGGGATGAGAGGGCACCGGGGTGCTAGGGCAAAAGGGAGCAGGGACTGCCTTGGTCTGCTGGGGCCTCCCACACCTGCCCTCTGGCAACATCACCTTGGACAGACATCTAACCCTGGGAGCCCCAGTTTCCTTATCAGTGACATGGGGAGTTAGATTACTCCCCCCCCACCCATGTGCTTTGGTAACAGCAAGATAACATGTGTACACAGCCTGAGTGGGAGCCCCGCCAGCTCAGTGGTGGACATCCTGTTAGATTGGGCCCGCCAGGGACGGGGCTACTGGAGTGGGCCCTGGGGTAGTGAGAATTTAGGGTGCGGGGCATTGGGATGGGGTGTGAGTCCACCAGGCACAGAGAAGGAATGGACGGAAGTGGTCTTGGGGGAAAGCGGTGGGAGCACTGAGTTTGGTCAAGGGGACGTATCTGATGTGTGTTTAAGGGCAGGTGACAGAGGGCAGCTGCAGCTGGCTGGACCAGAGGGAGCATGGAAGGATGCCATGTATGAGACAGGGTGGTGGGGCCTGGTGGGCCAGTCAGAGTGGAAAAGGCAGAAAAGAAGGCACAGCACAGGGAGCCGAGTGCAGTTTGAGCTCCATGGACACGGAGCTTTCTGCAGGGTGCTGGTCTGGAGTTGCGGGGAGAGAGCTCTGTTGGAGATGGAGGGGGAGAGGTGCTGGGAACTCTGGCAGGCTGGCAGCACTCGGATGTGAGGCTGATTGGAGGAGGGTTGGTGGACAGACTCCTGCAGACTGCATGTGTTTAGGAGGCAGGAGGAGGAAGAGGAAGGAATGTGAGGGGTGGGAAGGGCCCATGGGAGCCTGCAGGAGGGACTGGGTGGGAGCAGCATGTCAGGTGGCAGGCCGGGAGGAGGCCCTGCCGAGTGCAGCAGTACAGAATGTGGTTGTGGGCCCCTCTGCGGGGCAGTAGAGGCAGGATTCTTAGGGCAGCTCAACAGTGTCTATTAAGCACCAGCTGTGTGCCAGGCCACATGCTCCAGACCCTTGGTGCAGCAGCTCTGGCCCCCCCCACCCCACCCCCCACCACTTTATTAGAAGTGCAGACTCTTGGGCCCCATTCAGACTTCATGAGTGTGCATCTGCAGCATCATGAGGTCCCAGGGTGAGCTGCATAGTGACACTCGGGCGTGTGGGGAGGAGGAGGAAGTGACAGTGTGCATTCCCATTCCCAGATGGGATGGCCTATCCGGAGCCATCTATTACCAGGTCACAATTTAAAGAAAAATAAATGCACAGCCTTCAGGAGCTTCTGTTACATGTTCACATGGCTTCAGTAGGCTTCAGAATGTTTATATGTTTACCCGCTAAATATTTATTGAGCACCTTCTGTATGCGGGGCCTCTTGGAACAGAAGAGGCCTAGGTTCCTGCCCGCAGAGCTTGTGTGTCATGGTGAGAGACAACACATAGGTGCCAGCTGGTAATCCAGGTTGTTCTGACAGGTGCCTGTGAGGGCCCAAGGGGTGAGCTGGCCTCTTGGGGAGCATTTCCCACAGAGGTGATCCAGAGCAGTCAGGGCCAGTTAGGCTGGAAGTGAGAGCCAGGGGAGTGACAGAGACAAGGGCCACGAGCTGGGTCAAGGAGAGGCCCGCTGTACAGAGGAGGTATAGCTTGTATTTCAGTACATCTCAGGCATTCTTGTGGACCTCAGGCTGCAGGGTGTCAATCAAAAGAAGAAGGGGATAGCAGGTTTGTAGCCTGGGCATCCAGGTGAGCTAGTCCCTATTACTGAGGGTGGCCTGAGGGTCCTGGTACACGTGGAATGCCAGAACTGCAGTGAGCTATGCCAGTTCTGAACTCCCATGGCTGCCGTGGGACCTGGGTGAGCTCACTGGGGAGGGCATAGCAGGCCAAGACCAGGAGCCCCAAGAGGCAGCAGAGGAGGGGATTTAGGGAGGAGGAGAGAGGCCAGGCTGCTCCCAGGACATAGGAGTGTCATTTTCTCCACCTGGATTGTCATCTGTGACACTCGCTGGCTCACCGTGACCTGGGTCCCATCCCTGTGTGCCTCTAGCACCTGGAGCGCGGGCCTGGCCCCGTGACTTTTAGATGTTCAGTGTCTGTTCCCATTGTGCCTCTTCGGCTCCTTTCCCTGAAGACCATGTGTTCAAGAGTTTTTACTGCGTCAGGCCAAATATCATCTTTCTTTTGCAGAAGGGAGAATTCCATAAGTTGGCAGATGCTAAGATATTTCTGAGTGACTGCCTGGCGTGTGACAGTTGTGTGACCGCAGAGGAAGGAGTCCAAGTTTCCCAGCAGAACGCCAAGGACTTCTTCCGCGTTCTGAACCTTAATAAGGTAAGGAGTCCCAGGTGCTAACTGGGGCCAGGCCTGGAGGAGACAGGTAGAGGTGGAGGTGGGGCATGGAAGCCTCTGCTGGGACATGGTACATGCAGCTTGGCCCTGTCCCTGTGTCCCATGCTAAAATCAACCCTCTCCAGAGCCATCAGAACAAAAATCAAATGGTCCAGAGTTATGTTCCCTTGCCCACTTGGGCAATGCCTGTGGCCAGGAACACCGACCAGGGTTTGGGGGAGGCTTCTGTCATGCAAGGTCCTGCAGTGGTAGCGTGCCTGAGGTCAGGGACCGTTGGTAACGTGCTGGTGCTGTTTTGCCTCTGGGGTGTTCTCAGAGGCATGGGTTTCCTAATGGGCTCATCAGGCTGGGGCAAGTCCCTGCAGACCTGCACAGAACTACCTGGTGTCACTTAACTTCCAGTAACAGCCCTCCTGCAGAGAAGAAGGTGAGAGGGAAACAAAGGGAAGATTAAGGCAGATGAGCTGAAAAGTACCTCCCAGTTTGCCCTCCTCCCACCCAGCCACAAGAAGCACCCCGCCCCTGTGCACAGGTGCCTGGAGCCCGGGCCACATGGAGCGCAGGTGCCCCAGGGAGTCCTCAGTGCAGTCCAGGTGGTGCTGGGACTGCAGCCGCATTGAATTTACAGGTTAATTTGGGGGAGCTTGTATTTCACCACATAGAGCCTTTTTATTCACGAGTGTACCGTCTTTCAGTTATCGTACACATGACCTTTGGCGAAGGGCTGCAGTTTTCCCCATAGATGTTTGTGTCGATTTATCCCTCCATTCTCCATATCTATGCTTAGTTCTTGGTGTGATTGGGGTTTTATTGTTGCTTTGTTACACGTATTACATTTTATTTGGTAACATTCTATAATTTTGATTATAGGTGTGTTGGATTTTTATTTTTTTAATCCTCACCCAAGGATATTTTTCCATTTATTTTCAGACAGAGTGGGAGGTAGGGATGGAGGGAGGGAGAGAAACATCTATGTGAGAGAGACACATTGATTGGTTGCCTCCTGCACAACCCTGACCAGGGCCAGGGACCAAATCGCAACTGAGGTACGTGCCCTTGACCAGAATTAAACCTATGACTTTTTTTTTAATCCTCAGCCGAGGACATTTTTCCATATTTTTTTCAGATAGACTGGGAGGGAGAGAGAGAGAGAGAAACATCAATGTGAAAGGGACACATCGAGTGGCTGCCAACCGCACGGGTCTCTCTGGACCGCAGGCCGATGCTCTAACCGCTGAGCCAAACCGGCCAGGGCAAACCTATGACTCTTTGTTCTGCAGGCTGAAGCTTTAACCGCTGAGCCAAACTGGCCAAGGCAGTGTGTTGGCTTTTATATGTGGCTATTTTGTAAACTTAATAGTCTAGTATTTTCCTAGATTATCTTAGGTTTTCTAGGTTTTAGACTGCAATTAGTAAATTTTATCTCTTTCAACGCCTATGCTTCTCTCACCTCTTTTTCTGATTTTGTTGTTTAAGACCCTTTTTTTTTCATCCTCACCTGAGGACATTTTTCCATTTTTTGTACAGATAGAGTGGGAGAGAGAGGAAGAGAGAGAGAGAGAAACATCGATGTGAAAGGGACACATCGAGTGGCTGCCACCCGCACGACCAACCAGGGCCGGGGACAAACTGCAACCGAGGTACGTGCCCTTAGCGGGAACCGAACCCGGGTCTCTCAGGACCGCAGGCCGACGCTCTAACCGCTGAGCCAAACTGGCCAGGGCTGTTGTTTAAGACCCTTAAATCAGTCTCAAGTAACAGTGCTGATAAATGGCACTAACCTCTTCTTTTACTGTTATAGATGTTTGTTTTAATTTTTTTTAAATTGATTTTAGAGAGGGAGAGAGAGAGCAAAACATCGATGAGAGAGAACATCGATTGGCCGTCTCCTGCATGCCCCCCACTGGGGATCGGGCCCACAACCTGGGCATGTGCCCTGACCGGGATTCTAACCAGCGACCTCTTGGTGCAGGGTCGACGCTCAGCCCCTGAGCCACACCAGCCAGACTTTTACATAGATGTTTGCAGAAACTTCTAGTAGTTCCCCACATCAGTGAACATTTCACCTGCAGATAATGGATACCCACTTAGATTGGCATAAATAATAAAGAAATGGCAAATTCATGAAACTTACAGCTTCGGAGTTGGTTGAGTTAGCCACTCAGGGCTTCCACCAGCAAAAAGCAGTTTCCATTTCCCTGCTCAGCCGGGCTCTGGGCTCAGGCTGATCCCCTCCTGGTCATAGCCTGGCTCCCTTTTCAGAGGAGGTGACATTCGGGTGGGAGTGAAGCGGGAACCCTGGAGAAATCCTGGGCAGGGCCTTGGGCAGAGGGGTAAGAGAAGAAGCACTGGGTCCGGCTCCTTAAAAGTTGCCACTAAATGGCCTGGGCTTGAGGCCTCCTAGGGGACTGGGCTCTGGGCACCACTTCAGTATGGTTTTTTTAAAGTATGTGTAGCCCTGGCCAGTTTGGCTCAGCGGTTAGAGCGTTGGCATGCGGACCAGAGAGTCCTGGGTTCGGTTCCTACTAAGGGCATGTACCTCTTTTGCAGTTTGTCACCACCCAGGTTGGGGTCGTATGGATGGCAGCCACTCTGTGTGTCTCTCTCACATTGATGTTTCTCTCTCTCTCTTCCTCCCTCTCTCCCTCCTGCTCTATCTAAAGATAAATGAAAAAAAAAAAAAAAAAAGTCTTCAGGTGAGGATTAAAAAAAAATGTGTGTATATTTTTACTGTTACTGAGTTGTTTCAGTTATTTATGGGCCAATATTATAATTTATATTTTTCTTTTTAATCCTCACCTGAGGATATTTTTTTATTTCTTCAGAAAGAGAGGGAGGGAGGGAGGGCGGGAGAGACAGAGAGAGAGAGAGAGAAAGGGAAATAGAAAGGGAAAGAGAAAGAGAAAGAGAAAGAGAAAGAGAAAGAAACATTGATGTGAGAGGGACACATTGACTGGTTGTCTCCCACACAACCCTGACCAGGGCCTGAGACGAACTGCAACTGAGGTACATGCCCTTGACCGGAATCGAACCTGCGACTTTTTGGTCCATGGGCCGACGTTCTAACTGCTGAGCCAAACCAGCCAGAGCTATATTTTTCTTTGAAATTATCATTTTTCTCCAGATATTTGCATTTGGTAATATGATATTTCCCTAAAGTTGACAATAATCTCTTGGGCCATCCCATATTTTACTTGTAACTTCTTTCTCTTTTTTTCCTTAGTTATTCTTGCCAGCATTTGTCCATTTACTAGTCTTTGCATAGAAGTTCTGTTCCCCCTGTCTGTTCTGGATCTGCCATTGAATTGTAATCACTACATATGTGACATTCTTCTCTGTTTCTTCTAGAAATGTGATACCTCAAAGCACAAGGTGCTGGCAGTGTCCGTGTGTCCTCATTCTCTGCCTTATTTTGCTGCTAAATTCAGCCTCAGTGTCCCTGATGCATCCAGAAGGCTCTGTGGCTTCCTCAAAAGCCTTGGTGAGGCACCTTGATATTACTGTGAATTTAAAACATGAGTTTGTAACTACCCGTTGTGTATCTAGAGTTCCGTTTTGAAGGGCACAGGATAGGTATGAACTTCTGTGAGTCTCATGGAATGTAAGAGGACCCTGCTTCTGACCCACGGGTGTCACTTACCCCCGTGCTTTGCAGTGGGTATTGTGTTACTGCCAGAGATGGCCCCTCTGGGAGCTGCGAGTGAGCGTCTTTGGACAGAGTAGCCAGGGGGTACGTGGGGGGCTCCATCAATTGCCGAGCATTGTTGTGTTGGCCTGGCCCACGGGCCTCTGAGGGAGGGCATCTGTGTGATCAAGAGGGAGGGCTGCACGAGTGGGGCCTGGTTTCCCAGGAATCTCTAGTGCAGGGCAGGAAGGGAGTGGACTCTGTCTGCGTGAAGAACGAGAGGTCGCCAGTTCAGAACACTGCAAGGACGCAGATGTGAATGAACACTGCAGAAACACTGCCTCCCACAGCAAGAGGAAGGCTCTGCCAGAGCCTGCTGTCAGACCAGAACTGAGCCTGCCCCTGTGGAGATGTCATGGCCCCGGGGCATCCTGGTGCATGGCCTTCAACGGGCAGGCTCAGAAGGGGAGAACTTGAGCCATTTGCCAAATATTTTTTGTTATTCCTCAGTAGCTCTTTTCAAAGGCATAAACACATTGGGGATTAGTAATAAAATAAGACAAGGTTTAGAATAAACATAGATGCCTTTCTGCTCCTTGGTGCGCTTGGTATGGAGCCGGCTCGGTGCACAGCACCACCAGAGCAAGGCGGAGCTGCGAGCCTGGACTTGACAAGTTAATCCTTCCACTGTCTGAAAAAGCCCCAGGTGAGCTTAGTTTTACCAAAGATCAAGTTATTAGATGCTGTATGGTCTTGTAGTGAACGGCCCTATTTTGACACTTAAAAAAATAAATAGTTGGGTATTATAAATTAATATTAATAATGAAAACATATTCATAGTGGACCTGATTTCTTAAGGTAATGGTTTTAGATGACACTTAGAATTTTTTTTAAGGGTAACTGGCTGCTTTTAAGGTTTAGACTGGCTGTAGATATTAAAATTATTTGCTTATTTTATACTTATTGAAAATACATTATTTTCTCTCAAGTTTATTTGCCAATAGTAAGAAAACATATTTTAAAAAGATAACTAAAAATCAACATAAAATAAGATCATAAATGTGCACTCAGCCAGTTTACTCATTTTATTTATTTTAAAGATGTCAAGGATTGTTACTTACTGAAATTTAGATAGTGAATTGGGACAGAATGCCGTTAGTACCTTATAATATTCCATTAAGTTACATGTGGAATACTGTAAGGTACTTATATAAATACAGATGTAGTGAGAAAAACAGGAAGTAGAAGAGAGAACACCGGTATTTTATCATGAAAATTAAGTGCTATTGTTTAAAAAAAAAAGCACACAGTCCTGGTCTTATGGTTAGTGATCCAGCCAAGAGCTGAGGGTTGTGAGAGAGCCCAAGAGAAAAGCCTGCAGAGCTGCTCAGTCCTGGGAGAGGAGGCCACGGAGGTGCTGTGGAGCTGAGTGCCCCTCTTCCCTGCAGGGGTGCACTATGTCTTCGACATGACAATAGCTGCAGATTTCAGCATCCTGGAGAGTCAGAAAGAATTCGTGCGTCGGTACCACCAGCACAGTGAGGAGGAGCCCACGTTACCCATGCTGACCTCCGCCTGTCCCGGTGAGTACCCAGGCCACAGCTGCATCACACGGGATTGGGTTTGGGGCAGGCGATTGTAGTGGATGAGGTCAGAGGTCAGTGGCCTCATAGAGCGGGAGGGATGAGTCTGGGCCTGATGCACAATTTTATGTCCACCAACATATTTACTGATGCTGTAGTTTGGGGGTGCATGTGAGGTGGGGAGACCTGACAGGTAAGGATAATGTCTTACCTTCATTTATCCACATTTCTGAAGTTTCTGAAACAAATATATTATGTATTAAGAAAAGTAAACCTAGTCCTGGCCAGTTTGACCCAGCGGTTAGAGCATCGGCTCGCAGACCAATGAGTCATGGGTTCGATTCCAGTCAATAGCATGTACCTCTGTTGCGATTCATCCCTGGCCCTGGTTGGGGTCGTGCGGGAGGTAAACACTTCATGTGTCCCTTTCATGTTGATGTTTCTCTCTCTCTCTCTCTCTCTCTCTCTCTCTTCCTCTCTCTCCCTCCCACTCTATCTGAACAAAAATGGAAAAATGTCCCCAGGTGAGGATAAAAAAAGAAAAGTAAACCTAGCCCTGGCCAGTTTGGCTCAGCAGTTACAGTGTTGGACTGGACCACAGAGTCTCAGGTTCCATTTGAGGTCAAGTGCACTTATCTCAGTTGCAGGTTCAATCCCCTGCCCAAGTTGGGGTCATGCGGGAGGCAACCAATCAGTGTCTCTCACATCAATGTTTGTCTCTTTCTCCCCCTCCACCCCCACCCCCGTTCCACTCTATCTGAAAAATTCAATGGAAAAATATCCTCAAGTGAGAATCAAAAAAAATTTCTTTCCATTGATACTGAGATTTTATCAGGAACGCTCCCAGGTGTCCTGGGCGTGTCTGTAGGGTCAGCGGGTGTCATGCAATCCTCTCCTCCCCTGGTCAGGCCCTGGGAAAAGGAGGCCAGCTGTGGCTCCTGCAGGTCGAGCGCCTGGCTTTGTGGCTAGCTGCCTGCTCTGTGCCCATCCTGAAAACCACAGCAGCAGCAGTGCCCCCTGGGGATGCGGTGGGAGCCGTCCACGTGGGCTTTGTGGCTGTCAGCTCCCCTCTGAACTGTGGCGTGTCCTGGCCACGAGAACAGCTTTGCAGCTGGCACAGTGGCACTGGAACCATGCACTGGCGCTGCCTCGGCAGCTCTTCTCGGTGTGTGCTCTCTTTTGGGGGACCAGCTATCCTGGCTTTTTCTCTCACTCTGTCCTCTGTCCTTGGACTGGCAAGGCTGCTCATTCCTCCACCTTTCACTCTAGGGCATAGGCACCTGGGATCCTGTGGCCCAGCTTCTGGCTTTGGGGTAGGCTCTGTCACACACTCCTGGCAAGGCCTGAAGAAATGGCAGCTTTACCCCAGGGGGATGGGGTCTGAGGAGCTCAGGATCCCTGGTTTGTGATGGGCAGCATAAGGAAGGAGCCACGAGGGACTGACACAGCCCTGGTCTCTCCCCAGGCTGGGTCCGATATGCGGAGCGGGTGCTAGGTCACCCAATCACGCCCCACCTCTGCACTGCCAAGTCTCCCCAGCAGATCATGGGCTCTCTGGTGAAGGATTACTTTGCCAGACGTCAGGTAAGTTGGCCTCTGTGGAGGTCAGCAGCCAGGACTGCATGTGGGGGTGGCAGTGATGGGAACTGAGGCGAGCGAGGGAGACACGGGGTGGACCCAGTGCTGCTGCTCGGTGGGAATTGTGGTGGGTGATGAGGCAGGAGCTGGTCTGCAGGAGACAGGGCTCCACCTGAGCAGCCCTTTGGTGCCCACCAAAGAGGCAGCTGGGTGGGTGGCAGGTAGGTGCTCTTCTCCACCAGCCTGGACACGATTTGCTCTGTCTCCACAGAACCTGTCACCAGACAAGATTTTCCACGTCATTGTGGCCCCGTGTTATGACAAGAAACTGGAGGCCCTTCGAGAAGATGTTCCCACAGCTTTGCATAGTTCCCGGGGTGCTGACTGCGTGTTAACCTCAGGTGAGAGGTGAATGGGGCCAGGTAAGTGCATGGGGGCCTCCGACGGGTCCCCTTCTGAGGTCACCAACAGGACCCTGGGAGAGTGAAGATGGAAACACTCCAGCCAGTGTGCGGTGCACGGCTCAGGGCTGAGGGAGCTGCTCAGGCAGCGTGGGGCAGTCACACCCAACCATGGGAGGGCTCTGACAGCCACACCTGTGCTGGGGCACCTGTGAAATTGTCTCTTTCCGTAACGCTGCAGCCCGCGCAGGGCCTCTTGTTGTGGGTGGAAATGAATCTTCAGAGCCGTTTAGAACAACGTGGCAGTCGGTCTAGGGTCCAGCTTAAGTCAGCAATCTTCAGGGGCGGAGATGCCCCTCCGTGAGTCCCCTAACACACGTGGAAACGCCTCCACTGCACAGGCTCGTGTAGGACCCTGAGACAGGAGGGGCCCCAACCACCTGATCCTGTGCTGCCAAAGGAAGGGCCAGAGCAGTGGGTTTTCATGGGAACCACGTTTCGTCATCTCTCCCCGGAGCGCAGAGGCAAATGTGTTCTCACCTTATGCGCACCTGACGGCATGGGCTGGTTTAGATGTGCTGCTGCAAGGTTTCCTTGGGAGCCTTCGCACAGAGGGGAGTCCAGAGTGGTTCTGATTCTTGACGGTCTCAGTGCAGGTAACAGTACACCCTGTAAACGCAGCCAGTGTGTCTTTGGTCATTCTGCCCACGTGAGGTTATCACAGAGTTTTCTACTTCAGAAGCAAAAACAGATCGTCTGCAAAGATTTATTTCAAGAGCAGAAAGAGGAATGAGATGCTTCTCTTACATTTTATTAATATTTTTTATTTTATTGGTATCACTTTGCACTTGAGATGGGCTTTTTGCTGTCTGAGAGGGACAGCATCCAAGGTCACCTTAACTCAGTTTCCTGCGGGGAAGAAGAGAACCCTGAAACCAGGTGCTGAGGATGTACGATGTTCCCCCAGGCTGGCCTGACGCCTCTTATTTGTCTGCAGGTGAAATTGTTCAGATAATGGAGCAGAGCGACCTCTCAGTGAAAGATGCTGCCGTGGACACTCTGTAAGTGGCTTTTTCAGAGAGGGCCACCTTGCGGATGGGTCTCCTGCATGATCTCTGGTGGTCACGTGTGCCAGGGCCTCCCTACTTCACAATGAGGCAACGTGCGATGCTGAGATGCAAGCGCAGGGAGGCACTTCCTACGCAGCCTCGGGGCCCTGCCACAATCCTCAGGCATCTCACTGGAATGAAGTGTAGCCCCGTGTGGGACACCCTTCACCGGGCTGGGGAGTCGCATTTCCATGGTCTGTTGCATACCAGCACTGTCCCTTTCTGAGACCTTCCAAGTCCCGACCTACCCCAGGGCGGCCGCCTCTGGGGAGAAGGCAGATGCCTCGGGTCCCTTCGCACCGGGAGCAATAGGCTGGGCTGCTGTGGTCAGTGTGACCCTAACTGATGACTGGTGCTTCTGCTGTGTCCTGTGCCCCGGGCACTGGGCAGAGCACTCCTGGGCCACTCAGCGGGTCCTGCCAGTGACACTGGGGCTGTGTGTGGCCCTTTTATGGTAGGCTGGCTTGAGATTAACAGAATCTCAGCAACTCGAGTGCCCATGGCCACAGCCTGTGGTTGAGCCAGGCTGACCACGCACTTCATGCTGGCCGGGGCGCAGGCATGCTCTCGAGTCAGCCCCAGGGTCCCAGGCCTCATCCTGTCAGGCTCGAGGTTCTGGGGGACACTTGACGCACCGTGCAGCAGAGAAGGGAAGTCACTGAGCTGCCCCGAGTGTAGCCCTACCTACAGCCTCAGATGGGTACAAACGTTTCACATTGATCACTGAAACTCAGTAAGACGGGATCTTGCCCACAATGGAAGGATTTCATGTGGCAACCTTGAGTAATAAAACTTAGGAAGTCTGACTTGATTCTTGATGCTTTTCTCTGCCTGATGAGGTTTGGAGACCAGAAGGAGGAGGAGGTGAGGTGCCATGATGGCACCAGCTCCGACGGGTACCTGGCACACATCTTCAGACACGCGGCCAAGGAGCTGTTCAATGAGGACGTGGGGGCAGTCACCTACCGAACGCTGAGGTGCGTGGGTACGCGCGCTGTCTGCTTGTGTGGTCAGCGCTGCCTCTCCAGAGCCTTGCGTGTGTGTGTGCGCGCGCGTGTGTGTGCACGTGCTGGAGGAAGAGCTGTCCTGTCTATAGAGTTTTTATACCAGTCAGGATCAAAAGGCCTTTTTTGTGTTTTACTTGCAGACTTTTGTCTTGCTGACCTTCCACACTTAGAGTGGAGATGGTTCTCAAGCTGCCTGAGGGGGCCTGGCAGATCAGAGTCCCTGTGTATGTTTTACAGGAACAAAGACTTCCGGGAGGTCACCCTGGAGAAGAACGGAGAGGTTCTGCTACGCTTTGCTGCTGCGTACGGCTTTCGAAACATCCAGAATGTGGTCCTAAAGCTGAAGAAGGGCAAGTTCCCATACCACTTCGTGGAGGTCCTTGCCTGTGCTGGGGGTAAGACGTGACCTCCATAGTACCATGGGAGATGGGCCCTTTTTTGCCCACCCCGAGCTTCGCTCAGCTTGGGCGGCTTTGCGGGACAGTGGACACAGCCCTGGTTGTTGTTACACGAGGGTCCCTCCCTTTCCCTCACACCCACCACATGAGAAGAAAGCAGGCACTTACGGTCACTTTTGGAACCCCTTGGTTAAGGGGTCTCTGAGAGGGGTCACTGCTTGGTGGTCCCAGGGGACAGCTAACTTGCCTTGTGGCAGCTGGTGGAGAGTCGAAGTACATGGGGACTGGAACTGGCCCTAGGGCTTGGAGAGGGTTCAGGAATGTCTGTGCCGTTCTGAGTGGGGGTGCCCCCAATACTCAGGTGGACACACCAGGTGGGCAGTTCCAGGTGGGACACTGGCTTCAAGAGAAGAGGCTCTAGTGGGCAGCGTAGACAACAAACATGGCCAGGATGGTGGAGAAGCTGCAAGTATTCGGGAGGGCTGGCGAGGGGTACCTGGAGGGCAGGTGTGAGGCTGGCTTTGGGATACCTGGTAGCCTTGGCAACATTGCTCCAGAGCCCAGATCCATGGAAGGCAGATCCCGTGGCTTAAGCAGAAGAGTGCATAGGAGGTGAGGACCGGAGGCGACTGGTGAGATGGGCTCCTGGAGGGGTCCATGCAGGGCCTCCAGGAAGGGTGTCCCGCACCTCTGTGCCAGTCAGGGTGGAGCTGGGCTGCGCTCACTGTGCCCTATAGTCAGAGCTCCAGCTGGGAGCCAGGGAGCTGGAGTGTGAGGGGAGAGTGAACAGAGTTCTCTGCCTCAGGCAAGGGAGAGATGGAGAGAAGCTTGGCTGGGCAGAGGTTTGCTTCAAATTCTTTTTTTAATCCTCACCCAAGGACATTTTTCCACTTTTTGTTCAGATAGAGTGGGAGGGGGAGAGAGAGAAACAATGATGTGAAAGGGACACATCGAGTGGCTGCCACCCGCACGACCCACCCAGGGTCAGGGACAAACTGCAGCCAAGGTATGCACCCTTAGCGGGAACTGAACTTGAGTCTCTGTGGACTGCAGGCCAATGTTCTAACTGCTGAGCCAAACCGGCCAGGGCTGCTTCAAATTCTTTTATCCTGTAAATCACATCACCTACCATGTTTGAGAGGATGTAGCTCCTGCACATGGGAGGCACCTGCTTTGTTCAGGCCACAGCGTCGGGCGCAGGCTCCTTGGTGCAGTCCCGGGTGAGCAGCACACTGGTTCTGCAGATACCAGGACGCAGATCCCTGGGAAGTGTCTGTGCTCCCTGGTTTGGTGAGTTTCCAGGGAACCTGGAAACCCAGATGTGTGCACACGGCCCTCAGTTCTAAAGGTTAGCAAGTTGTTTTGGTTACAGGTAACCACGTGTCATGGGCAATGTAAACAGGACAGAATAGGAGGGCACGGGGCTGTGAGCCTGTGACAAGGGTTCCTGAGTTCTCAGGACATGTCCCGGGCCCAGCTCCTGTCCTGCTCCAGGACTGTCTTCTCTTCAGGACAAGAAGAAAGGTAACAAGCTCCCTGCCCATGTCTTTCAGGATGCTTAAGTGGCAGGGGCCAAGCGCACACAGAGGATGGGCGTGTGGACAGGGCGCTCTTGCGGCAGATGGAAGGCGTCTGCGCTGCCACCCCTGCACAGCCCCCTGAGACCAGCGCCCAGGTGCAGGGGCTGTACCAGGAGTGGCTGGGTGGGGCCGACTCTCCCACGGTCCAGGCTGCTCTGCACACCGCCTACCAGGGCCCGGGGCAGCCCGCCAGCAGCCGGGACATCAAGTGGTAAAGGCCCAGCAGACGGGGCCATAGGCTGCCTGAAGAGGGAGGGTGTCAGGGGTGCGTGAAGACAAAGCTCATCTTCTCTTTCATCGCTTCGGTTCTCAGAACCGCTGCTGCCATCCTGACGGCTCCCTCGCTCCGATGGGCACTGTCTTTGCCATGTGTGCACTGGAATATGCACCTGAGAGGAGTGCCCCAGTGTATGTTCCCTTCTATCCTGAGATGAGAAGAAACCCAAAGAACAAGAATGGAGACAGACTGCTGTCTTCTAGGCTTAAAAAAATCCAAAAGTGTCCTGCGAAGAGCTAAGACCTGGTTCTGGTTCACGTGCCCCAGAGAGATCAGATGTGGAAATGACATGGCAGGTGGGCTGCAGGGTCACAGGGCCACAGACCTGCTTGCCCAGTTTGGACTGTGACTACCCATTTACGTTACTCTTGAAGATGTCTTTGCCACAACGTGAATAAACCACCACCTTTTGGCATCGAGCTCATACAAAAGTCTGCATTTCCACCTTTTCTTGGAATGAATCTACATTCTGGCAGCAGTGACCACATTCCTGAGACCAGGTCCTGCACTGGGGATTGGTGGGCACTGTAGATGAGGCCCCACATGTGCCCTTTTACATTCAGGGTTTGAGCTCAACTCACCTTGTGGGTAGGCCTGTCAATGGTGATCGGTATTACAGATGAGGATGGAGGATAGAAAGGCAGACGCTCTATTCAGTCCATACCTGGGTGGGGTCGGGCAGGTGAAGGCTGGCCAACCCAATCCATGGTTGGGCTAGACTGTTCTCTTGTGCTGCCCCTCACAGCGGGCTGGCTGCTCCCCTCGGCTCCAGGCAGCTCTGCGCTCCACGACAGCACTCCCGCCTGGCGCGCACTGCCCGTGGGCTCGCCTTACGTGAGAAGGAAGAGAGGGCAGTTCGCACACAACTGCACAGAAAGGGCTGACGACTACCCACAGAACCCTGAACTCGGCACATCAGGGCCCATCCTGTGAAGTGAGGCACCTGTGACCGGCCTAGAGTTGGCTTCTCAAAGCACTTGGATTTTGTTAACTTAGGGTGTCATTCTTTTTGAACCCCTCAGCCTGTTAGATTTCCCTCATTGATTTGTCATTGTACCTGCGTACCCATCTGAGTTCATAACTGGGGTATTGTGTGAAATTACATATTTTTTGCTTTCAATCTGTTTACAGTGGGGTTTCATTCTCTGGTAACTGATTATGGAATAAACAGATGAAGAGTGTCTGAGTGTGGGCGCTGGATGAACAGAACAGCTGCTGCGCTTCCCAGCCAGAGCCGGCATGTGCTCAGGCCGCATGTCACCAGTGTCGCGCCCTCACCTTGTACTGCTGGAGCCAACAGCTGGCCCAGTGCAGGAGCGCCATACTCCTGCCCCTGTCCCTGTCCCTGTCCCTGGCGGGCCTAGAATGGCAGGAGTCAGGTGCAGGGGCTGCTCTTCAAAAGCTGCCTCTTGTCCTGGCCAGTTTGGCTCAGTGGTTAGAGCGTCAGCCCACCTCAGTTGCGGTTCATTCCCGGTCCTGATCAGGGTTGTGCGTGAGGCAACCAGTCGATGTGTCCCTCTCACCTCGATGTTTCTCTCTCCTTCCCTCCCATACTATCTAAAGATAAACAGAAAAATATCCTTGGGTGAGGATTTAAAAAAAAAAACTGCCTCTTCCAGCTACAAAGAAGACATGCTTCCTGGGTGACATGGCATAGTCCACCCTAGCAGGGCCGGGCTGAGGGCCTACGTGCCACCACACGAGGTGCTGGGTCCTGCCCAAGGCCCATCGTGGGTCATGACCACATGAAAAGAGTGGACTGAGTCATTTTCATCACTCGGGGCGACCCTGTGGTCAGGCTGGGGTGACACACACAGATTGTGTTCTGTTGAGCACGAGGAGGGGACAGCAGTCCAGATCCACACCCCACCCAGCAGCCCCTCGGCAGGCAAATGCTGTTCAAGGGCTGGTGCTGCTACAACCCCCAGTGGACCAGGACCTCGTCCAGTAGATTTCCAGGCTACGTCAGAGCCCAGATGTCTTGATTCCATTTCTGCCTGCGTGGCCTGAGAGCTGGGGCCCACGTCCATGCTGGTCGTTCCTCCTCAGCTCAGCTGGAACCAGTGTTGGAGCCCATGCATTGTCCACACCGTCAGTTTGATGCTGACCTAGGGCATGGAGCAGGCACTTCCTGGGACAGGGTGTTCGGTGGTCTCGCCTGTTAGCCCGAAGCTGAGTGATAGGGCTTCCAGCATGCCCTGCAGTGAGAGCTTGGATCATCACACAGGTGAAGGCACACCCTTGGCATGACCTGCAGGGCAGCAGAGGGGACAGGGTCACTGCACAGGCTGGACCCTGTACTTTCTGATGAGGGCGGCATGTGATTTGAGAGCAAGAAGAGCAGGTACCAGGACTGAAGTCTTATTTTGATCCTCCCCCGAGGACACTTTTTTTTTAAACATCTTCAAACAGAGAGGGAGGGGAGAGAGAGAGAGACATCGATGTGAGAGAGATATTGACTGGTTGCCACCTGCACGACCCCATCCAGGGCCGGGGACAAAGCACAAGAGGTACGTGCCCATGGCCAGAATCGAACCAAGGACTCCCTGGTCCATGGGCCAATACTGTTACCACTGAGCCAAATTGGCCAGGGCTGAAGTCTTATTTTTAAATTGAAATACAGATTGTATACGTAAATACACACAGAGATAAGCATATGCTGGTAAGTTGGTTTTGCCCAGTAGATGGGCACACGACAAAGTACTGGTGTCAGAGCAGACACTCCTCCAGGCAAGTAACTATATCTGGACATTGGGCTCTACGGGTGGTTAAACCATGAGTAGATTTCTATGTACCACAAGGAAACCTCAGAGCAATACATATTATAAAACCCCTTTGGGTTTCCTTTTTAAAAAGCCAAGCCAAAAGGGTGAGGGAATGGACATTAAAATAACAAAAGTCAGGAAATCCCTAATGTGAAGAAGACAAGAGAGCCACAGGCATGTGTGTCCTACCTGACTTGAACTCAGATCACCAGATTCAAAGTCCAGAGTGCTGACCATTACACCACAGAACCTCACACCATTCAGGTCACTGTAGGACCTTGGCCTAGTGAAAGAGGCAGGCGACCGAGGGGGGAGGGGACAAAAGGGGAAGCCATTGTTTCCACACAAAACTGAAAATTTAAGTTCTAAGAAATCTTACTATTCGGGTGGGAGGTGGTACAAAATGCACACACAAGTCCCACGGAGATTTGAATTCAGATCACTGGATTAAGAGTCCAGAGTGCTAACCTCTGGCTTCCTGTTGGTTTCAGGGAAGAGGAAGGTAGAGGTGGGTCTGGAGAGCAAACGGAAGACACCCAGGAGGGCCAAAGGAAACAACTCTAACCCCAGATGTACAACTGCCAAGGGCACTGAAGGGAGGATGAGGATAAGAAGGGAGGCCCTGAAGTGAAGGCCAAGGCAAAGCCTGCTGGCAGGGGCTTCTGCAGCATCAGTGACACACCCAGCAGGGCTCAGTGGGCAGCCCCTGGCTGAACTTCAAGACACCTGCAGTTGCCATGGGGGTGGGGCCCCCTAAAAGGCACCCACAGGGCTGTACTGTGAGCCTGAATCTCCACCACAGGGTCAAGGATATTGTCTGTGCCTGAGAAATCCAGGCACACATGTACAGTTACAAGCAAAAGGATAGCCCCTGGGAGAAGGCACATTTCATCAGATTTCATCAGCACCCCAGGGTGGGCACTCAGTAAAACCAGACTGGAGGACTGGTATCAAAGAGCCTGGCCAACGAGGCATATGGATGGACTCCTTGAAAGGGCCCAGAATCTGACGATTCACGGTCCACGTGAATGCACATGAAAGGTGTCCAGTTGAGGAAGGCTTAGTCATGCAGAGTATCTCCAGATGCCGGTCAGACTCTTCCTTCAGCCACCCTCGTGATGCTGGTTTAACCCTCAGACCGAAATGGCCCTGGGGACAGGGCAGGAGAGTAGGCCCAGGCTCGACAACATGGACTTTTTCCTCCACCAAGCCTGTCCTGGCTGTGACTCCTGCTTACATGTTTCAGTGGCCAACAGTAAATCCCAATTCTCGTTGTCACCAGCCGCCTGCTGACAGGTGACCTCACTAATCAATCCTCTGCCGGAGACCTGCGAGGCCACCTTGGAATAAACCCTCATTCTAGCCCCTGAGTTATTTGACTCGGGTCAGGACCCAGAGCCATTGCACGTACACAACGCCGCCCCTGGCCCAAGCCCGCGCCCCGCGGGGCAGCCGCGGGCAGTGGGCCTCTGCTGGAGAAACCACGTCTCTCTCCCGTTGCTCAGCCCGGAGGCCGTCGCCAGGGAGCGTCAGGGCCTGTTCCAGACCGTCGGAGAAGCGAGGCACAGGAGCAAAGCGAACAGCCAGTGGCTTATGACGACACCCCGACTTCCAGCTTTCAGTGCACGTTCGACTGGCAGGCAGGTGTCGGCGCATTCGTCCCACACCCCAGCACCTCGCCCGGCCCGCAGGCACACCCCGTCTGCCGGCGAAGAAAGGAGCGGACGGCGGGGACGCGGCGCACGTGCTTTTCTGTTTCAGGACCGACCCAGAGCTGGGTAGGTGCGAGGCCCCATCCCGGCCGGCGGCGGTCACGTGGGCGGTAGGCCACGTGCTCTTACGTACGGCGGTGCCGCAGTGTCGGCGCGCTGCTGCCCCGCCCCTCGCTGGAGCGCCCACGTCCGCGCGTGCGCGCCGGGCACCGCAGGGCGTGAGCAGGGAGGGGGCGTGTCCCGGGAAGGAGTGGGGCTGGAGATCGAGGGTCCCGCCACCTGGGGCGGGAGGACCTCGGGGTGTCCACCCTCCGCGGGCCGCGCTGATTTACACCCGATTCGCCACCAGGACCGTGTAGACTACGCACCATCGCGTTCCCCGCCCTCCCCGGACGTGGGTCCCGGTGCCCAGCTGCCCAGGAGCCGGGGCTCCGACGTCCTCTCCACCCACGGTCGGCCCCGCTCCCCGCCGCCCCACGCCCACTGTCGGCTCGGGGTTCAGAGGACCTCAAGCTTGTGCAGTTTGGAGCACCCTTTAAAAGAGAAAGTACAGGATTGTATACGAAGGTGAATGTTGATTAGAATAAGAGAAATAATCACAACAAACTGAATTCTACCAAGCTGGTCAACCCCACACACTTCAATGAAACATTTCACTAATTCACTGCCTACCACTCCTCTACTATATGTTTTCCTAGTTTTTTGGATGCAGACTTTGAAATGGCAATGCTTTGGTGTAACTGTTTATAGTGAACGAGGAGATAATTCACTCTTTGCAGGGTTGATCACATTTTGATTTTTATGAATACTTTAGAAAAGATTGCCAGCTTTGCATTCTCATTAGTAATGAAAAGTAGACTTTTAGGATTGCTATCAGATTTGGCCAAACCTCCCCTGTAAGAGCGGGAGGATTTCAGGCGTTTCAGGTGCCTGGCTGCAGGGCCTGCTCTGAAGTCCGCTGTGGTCTCAGAGCAGCTTATTATGAGCTCTGTGTCATTGTTGATGGCAGTATTGCAGGTCAAACCTGGGAGAAATCGGAACCGCTTTCTGTGTTTATGATTCACTCACCTTCATTACTGAATCGCATGCATTCTGCTTGGTCCCCAGCTCACTGTGTTTCTGTGTGATCTGCGTGCCTGGAGATCCATGTCCACGTGCTCTGTGGAGACTTCCTGATTTCTGTGTTCTAAAAGTACTGATCTGAAAGTCTGTCTGGTGTAGCCTTTACTTTGGAATAGGCTGATCAACATCACATGGCAGTTTTCCTGTTAAAAAAATAATTCTTTGGGCCCTGGCCGGTTTGGCTCAGCGGTTAGAGCGTCGGCCTGCAGTCCAAAGAGACCCGGGTTCGGTTTCCGCTAAGGGCATGTACCTCACTTGCAGTTTGTCCCCGGCCCTGGTCGGTTGTGCGGGTGGCAGCCACTCGATGTGTCCCTTCACATCGATGTTTCTCTCTCTCTCTCTGTTCCTCTCTCTCCCTCCCACTCTACCTAAACAAAAAATGGAAAAATGTCCTTGGGTGAGGATAAAAATAAATAAAAAAATAAAAAATAATAATTCTTTTGCCCTGGCCGGTTTGGCTCAGCAATTGGAGCATCCACCCACAGACCAGAGAGACCTGGGTTCGGTTCCTGCTAAGGGCATGTACCTGGGTTGCAGTTTGTTCCCAGCACTGGTGGGGTCATGT